CCCCCCCTCTCTCTCTCTCTCTCTCTCTCTCTCTCTCTCTCTCCCTCTATCTCTTATGCAAACACACCTACGCTTGCAATATAAATACTCACATACATACACACACACACACACACACACACACACACACACACAAATTCATTTCTCTTTTTTCTCCCTCTCAATACATCTCTTCTTCTCTCACAATTTCAACTCTGAAAAAATCCTTGCAATCTATCTCACCAGAGATGGCAATTCCTGACTTCTGATTCTCACTGCGTTCATCTTTCTCCACTACGATTTACCTGAGCATTGCAATTTTCACTCCTACTTTTTCTTTCTGACTTAAAATTATTTAAATATCTTCTCTTCATATTTGACAAATTTGAAAAATTATTTTTTCCGATAAATAAAAATTAACGTGATTAAGATTTTACACAAATTATTTTCACCCATTTGATATTTACAATGGTCCAGTAATTTACAATAATATTTTTATGTAAAGGATTATTTATAATTTTCAAAAATAACTTGGTATTATTGACAATTAATAATTGTTTAAAATCAAATTATATATTTATTTCAATAAGATACTAAAATTGTACTTTATTTTAAATCATCGGTTATTAAAAACTAAAAATAAAAAATTGTTTATATACAAAAAATACAACAAATATTATAATCAATTAATTATATTTCTTTTATAATAATTTTTATTATATTATTCTCTAAATATTTTTTAAAACTAATATAATAAAAGACTGAAAGAACGAATATTAAGTTAATAATATTTAAATAACATATATGCAGAAGTATAGGTTTATACATTTTTAATTCAACCTTTAAATATCATAACTGCTATTATATATTAACTTTAAACATATACTCGTACTATAATGCTATAAACGTACAAAGAAATAATATAAAATTGGTGTGTGAGCCCGCGTAGCATACGGTCGTGCGTACATGCACATAATGTGTACATTAATAAATAGAGAAAGATTAAGTAATTTTTTTCAAAAATGCTATTTTTCAAATCAATAAAATAAATTGCATTTTTAAGGATAAATTTTCTATAATAAATTTTTATTTTATTTAACAACTTTGTTTTCATTCTTAATAATTAATTATTTCTATATAATTATTCATTGTCACTTATACGGGGTTCTGAAAAAATTACTAGTTAATTAGATTGACGGTTTAAATATAAAAATTCTGAAAATATTAATACAATTAATTGGATAACCTGTAATATAAAGAAGTCAAGAAGTAATGTGCCCCCTTATATGTAGAATTCATTTTCCGATGGGGAATTGCCACGTGCCAGGTGAAGCACCATTGTAAGGACATTTGCCACGTGGCGCACTCAAAGTAAATACCCAAATCGACATAAGAGACAGCATTTTAACTTTTACTCCTAGTTAAAAACTTCAATCCTGTAGATATCAATTTAAAAAAATGAAACTAGTGGTTAATGAATTTGTAGTTATATTTTTAAATAAATGATTTATACATAAATATATAAATGTTGTTGATCTTTTCTAGTGAGATTCATTGTTGCACTATAAATAAAATTATTAGCTTTGCTTTGTCATAAAACGTATATTAAATTAAAATACAATATAAAAAGCAATCAAAATAATAAATATAAATATGTATATTAATTAAATGCAAATAAATATTTATATAAATTTATTAAAACAATAATTTAACGTTTGTTTATTGAAAGAATAAATTTATTATTAATAAACTTAAAATAACTCGTATCAAGAAATCAAATTTGTACATAAAGAAATTAAATTCAAATCCCTACAAACTTTTGACAAAAACTTATTTACGTAAAGTACATAAATAATATAAAAATTTTTGTTTAAATATATAATTAAAGGTATTCAGTGTAAATATAAATAAGCTAAATAAAATTAAAGTAGATGTATGCTGATAATATTAAAAAATATTCATTCTTTTCATAATTATTTATCGTTTTACGTTATTATAGTTATCGTATAGTTATCGTATACTATAATATTTAATGATACATAATGTAAAAAGATGAGGCTCACTACATTAAAGACTTATACTGATAAGTTTATAGTAATGTATTCAATGTAAAAATTATAATACGAATGTAATGTAACTGTCCTTAAACAAAAATATTTGAAATTTATCAGATAAAAATGTTCACTAATTTTAACTTGAATTCAATATTTAAGCCTTTGAAATGATTTTAATCTTCATAAAATAGTTCTTATTCGATTGTAATACTTATATAGATATCTACCTGCTTTTATTTTTAAAATAATTCCACTTATATTCTACAAATAAATAAAATTTACAATATTTACTTCCTGAAGAGTTCTCAAAAGGAATAAGAAAATAATAATTATGTATGAATTAAAATTGTGATTTAACAATATTAATTTTTTTTTATTAATTATTGTACATTGTATTAATTATTGTATATCATGAGCATATATGTGTATTTTTTATTGTTTATTTTTAGTTTATTGTTAGTTGAAATAAAGTAACAACTTCGTGATCTATAATAATTTTAAATATAAAAAAATACAAATTTATACAAATTTTTAAATGAATATAATATAATATAATATATCAATATAATATATAAATTTATTTTATATAAATTTATTACGTCAGTTTATAAAAACAAAAATTCTTGTAGATCACGAAGTTGTTACTTACTTCGAAAAGTATATTTATAAGTTTAAAAACTATAGACTGTTACTTTATTTCAACTACATGAAAGTAATGTACTTCTATATAATCGAATTATTAACGATAACAAATTGATATTTATTTATTTATTTATTATTATTATTATTATTATTATTATTATTATTATTATTATTATTATTATTATTATTATTATTATTATTATTAAATACCCTAAATGTAATTTTACTAATAAGCTAAATAAAGTAAAATAAAAATTAATACCAAAAATATATTTTAAGAATAATATACAATTTTTACATTCATGTTTTAATCATATTATTCTCTCGCAATATGTATAATGCATTTAAAAAAGCTCGATAGTCAAATTTAGGTTCCACTTTAATATGTCCCGTTGTAAAGCACTTGAATAACACATCGATTTCATTAGCATTAAGGTTATAAATAATATTTCTAATACTAAGAACTCTAATTAATTCATTTTTCGTCACAGTTCCAGTATTTAAACTCTTATCGAAATCCTAAAAATATAATATAATTTCATAAAAAAATTGAATCAACAAAAATATTAATAAGTATATTAATAACTTATAAAAATAAAAAATAGATATATTTAAAAGTATGTGTAATCATATATTAGCGAAGTTATTTTTAAAGTTGTTATAAATAAATAAATACTTTGTCATAATATAAAAAATCACTACAAATTAAAAAACTACTATTATTTCAAACATTCGGTCAGTTTAAAAAATTATCATTATTTTAATCTATAAATTATTTATTTTGATTTTTTATATTAATTCACACATATTCACAATTACAAACAATTACAATAAATTATTTGTTTGTACACATAAGTTTTAAATAAGCATTACATTTACCTCCAACTTATTAAAAATTAAACTTTAATTAGTGATTGTGTATAGATTAAAACAAGAATTAGCAATGAAATCAAACAGTAAAAAGCTGATAATACACATATGTGTTAAATTCACCTTAAAAAGTTCTTCTAAATTATTGTCAACGTACGCGGAGATAGCATTCAGTCCCCGTGTCAGAATTTGCCGCTCATCGAAATTCAAAAAGGAGCGAGTAGTGTCTTTGGTCGGTACATGACGTATTGGAATCACCAAAGGAGACTTCTCCAGTTGTCCTTTTACCATCGCTCCTTCGACCGCATCAGAAAATTTTGAATAATCGATGTAATTTGGTCTACGTATTTAAATAAGAATTAAAATTTTTATTAAATAAATACATTTTTTTTGTTTAAGTAAGATAAAATTAGAAAAAAAATTATGATCTATAAATTCTTACAATAGATAAAAAATGATATTAATTACAATTTTAATTAAACGACACTTTTGCCTTTTGTAATAATTATACATAGAGTAATAAAAAACTTTTTAATTTATTTTGTAATAAATTTTTAACTGTTCTTTATAACTTTACCTTTGAGATGCTATGAAATGATCCATGAGGCTATTTACTTCTGTACGAGTGAGATCGCATTTAAGCTGATCGAGTCCACGATCAAATTGCAATCTTGTTACAATTTTTTCGTTCCTTAAATCAAAATGTCGAATAAATTCATTTACCTGTAAAAATATTAGTATTAAAGGTAAGGAAATATAATTCATTTATTCGAAAAACTAAACATTTAAGTAAATTAATAGGAAAAAGTACTGATGGCAATATTTTATGAATAATATAATGAAAGTAATAGTTTCATAAATGAATAATTTACTTAATTATTTTATAAATAAAAAATTTAATTAAAGTAATACATTTAAATTTAATGATATTAAATCAACATACTACATTCTATTTTCATTCTAAGGCTTATTTCATTCTAAAAATCAATCATACTGATTCTGTTTTTGATAACTTCAGAAAATGAAGTTAAAATTACTATTTTACAACTATATTACATTGATACAAATTTTCATTATGATATAAAAAAAAATAAATAATTGTATACAAAGTTAAAAGATTTACAAATTTGTTAGAAACGTTTTTATTAAAATTTTTATTTAAAAATTATGTATTAAAATGAATAAAAATTAAAAAATAGATTGTACTATAAAAAAATTATCACAATTTTACAGAAAATTTTCTAATTATAATATCTGTGTAAGTTGCTTTTCTTTTATTTTAGAATAAATTACATAATATGATTAAACTATTTTAAAATAGATTATGATATAATATGATTAAAGTAAATATGTCAAATGAAGGTCAAATAAAACAGATTAGAACTGCTATCCACTGTTAGAACTGCAATATCACGATTACGATTCAATAATACCACAGAAAGAAAATTATGTTTTCGATACGTGAAATAAATTTTTAACAAATAAATATCTTGAGTATTTGCCCTATACATCATACATATATAATCTTACATATATTCAAAAAAGTAGTTAATGAATAAATTTCTACAAAGTAGAGTTAAACTAATACCTTTTTAAGAAAAAATCAAATATTACTAGAAAAAAAAATCAAAAAGAAATTACATTTTAAATAATCTGATATCTTAATTCCGTTTATTAAGATTATTGCTTTATGTTTTATATTGAAGAAAAATGCAAAGAGATGTTATAACAGATACTATAATATGATATGAAAAAAAAATAGTAAAGAAATAAAGACAGAAATATTTGTTTTTCAATAAGAAATTCTGTATTATAAAATATAATAATTTGAAAAATTTAAACTCATAATTCACTATTATGATTTTTAGTGTATGTTTTAAATATTTAATCTCGTATTACAATTTAATTCGGTTCAAAAATATTGTAGTACCTTGATTCCATTACAAACGACTTTGGATTTTATTTTTGCTAAAATTAAATCAATATCTGTTTCTTCGGGAGCTGGACATTTTTCAGACAAATTAAAAATGTCCAATTTATTTTTTAATTGCTGTTTCTCACAAATTGACGATTCATCCAATAATTGTTCCAATTTACTTATAAAATCTAAATAATAAAAGCCTAAGTTATCATTGTACATGAATTCTAAAGACAAAATTTCCTCTCGAGTAAGGGAAATCGTTGCAGCCGTGAAAACTTGGCGCAATTGAGCTCCTGATACGTGTCCTCGATTAATTCTAAACATCCAAAAGAATGCTCTTTTAAATTTTTATTAGTTATTATAGTTATTATTAGTTTTCGGCGGTCTTAGTGATATACAAAAAGAAATTATAGAACTTAAACTAAAAAATTAAATAATAGTGAAGTAAATATTAATAATACTTTAAATATTTCGTTCATTAATAATTTAAATATTAATATGTTTCTAATCTCGATTTTTTATAATGTTAATAATTTTAAAGGTTAAAGAAAATTAAAAAAAAATAAAATTTAATACTTTAAGAAGTTCGGTAAAAATATATTTATAAGTATTGAATAGAAATGATTTAATTTTTTTACTTATCGAAATCCCGAAAATATTGTCTTAAGGAAAACCTTCTTTGTTCAATACATTGCATTATTTTTTTAAGCGACCTTGTATAAAATTTTTCCATCAATACTGTCGATGTAAGTTTTGAATCTATTTCTGAACAATCCCATTCCCCATAGCTTAATCGATTAAGCTTTTTCACTTCTACTGGAGGAGCAACTACTTTACAATTTGGCTGTTTATCCAAATGCTTTTTTGTGAATACTGTAATTTATTAAAAATAATTGTTTTTAAATAATATTTAGAGAAATAAAAAAACATTAATATGTAGATATTAAAAAATAAATAAATAAGTTAATAAAATCTTAATTACATTTAAACACATCAATATAAATTTTTTTATAAAATAAAATCATAATAGCTGAACTATAAGGTAGCTGATAACTATAAGGAACTATAAAATAATATTGTTAAAAGGTATTAAAAAAAAATACTTAGGAATATTTTTATGTACATACATTATAATAAACAAAAAAATCATAAAAATCATAAAAATTTTTAAAAAATTTATTTTTAAAAAGAAATTATAACAATGATAATTTTTACATATAATATTGATGTTATATATTACTTCAACTTTGACTGATTCATTCATCAAATAATTATCATGCAAGAGTCTAATTGAAAAAATAATTGAATAAATTGAAATAGTAAAATAATTAAATTTAAAAATTTTCTATTATTATCTTGCTTTATACTTTCCTCTTGTTTAATATTCTGTTCAAGCAATATTTTAAAAATGCATTTGATTCTTTAGAAATATCTAAATCAAAAAGATTCTTTAAATTATCATCGCTAATAAATACAACTATATTTAAAAAAATAAATCAAAAGAAATCAAAATAAAATGCAATATATAATAAATTAAATATATAAACCCAAAATATATATTTATAAGTTTTGTAAAACAAAACATTACTATTTTTATATTGTTTAAACAGCATAAGGTATTGTTTAAGGTATTAATTTATATTACATATAAATATATAAATTCTTAAAATATCTTATTTGTTAAAATTTTAAGTATATAATGAATATTATACTATTTATAAAACTAATTATTTACTAAAATTATATTGAAAGAAATACTTTTTTAATAATGAAACTATACTTTATAACATGCAGAGCCATCTAGTAGGATATACATATATTATCTCAAGTTTTATCATCAGTCAGTAATATCAGATAAAAAATATTTAATTAAGTGGTAGCCTTGCAGCTATTGTCATTTACATATCTATTTGTATAAAATACAAATCATAGTTATAAAAACAAAATAAACATCCTTTACTTTTATAAATTCATCGTTAATTTTTATTCATAACTTACTGATTTTGTACACAGCTCTATATTATTAAATATATATTATTAAAGAATATATATTTGAATATATAATTTATTCAAATTTAATATAAAATATAAATTATATCTTGTATTATCCCTACCTTGTTCAACATCATCTTCAAATGCTCTCCAACAAATTCGTTCTATATCACTTGGATCTTTATAAAATGCTATTATATTTTCGATTTCCTCTGCAGCTAAATAAAGATTACCATGAGCAGATTTTCTAAAAGCATTCAAACCCCTTTGAAATTGATTTTCACTTATTTTTCCAACATTAAATATATCAAAATCCTAAAAATTAAATAAAATGAAGATTCTAACTAAACATTTCAATGTTTATAAGATTATTTATATTATAAATAGTACTACTAAAATATGTTTTAAATTCTAATTTATTATATTATTTAAATAAAATATTACCTGAAAATGATCTGCAACTCGTATCTGACTTTTAAAAGCATGCTCTTGAAGCCTTAGCATAATTTCTTCAATATTTCTAATTCTCTTTGATCTTGTATCGACTGATAAAAAATGTAACTGTTGTGGAAATACACAAGAAGTCTTTATTTTACCAATTTCGGGTCGATTTAATTTTGGTAAATTCACCGATATTATTCTTCCTGGGAATTTATCCAAAAGCATCTAAAAGATAAGATTATTTTGTTTTCAGTGCGCATATACTATTATAATTGATTATAAGAATAAACATGTTGCAGTGATGATGATAATAATAATAAATGTCAAAGAAAAACAGAAGTAGAAACAATAAAAATTAACTTGAAAGTTTTAGAAATTTTATATTTGTATTTTAAATTTTATTTATAAAATACAATAATGTTTTATTGTTACTTATTAAAAATATGTTTCACTTTTGAATTCAATGTGCAATAAAGATTTAAAAAATATATATTATCGTTATTATTTTTAGATATTCATAATATTGATTAATTATAACAATTAAAGGTCTGTGTAGTCACATAAAGAAACATTGTTTTCATTTACTATGAAATATATCTTACTCCATCTTGATTAGCTTTATTTTTTTCAAAGAAATCTTGAACCTCTTCAATAGCTTGAATGAAAGCCACATAATTGACCGAATAATTGTCTTTTGAAAATTTCTTTATTAACAAATACATTTCGTTGGGTGATAAGTTAATGTCTAAAAAATGTAATACTCGAGCAAAGTGTGTAAATGTCACTACTCCGCAATTTTTTGATATCTGAAGAAACGGTAGAAAATTAAATTTGGGAATATTTATAGATTTTAAATTCATACCAATTCATAATCATGAAAGTAAGGTCTTATCAAAATTTGTTGGCGGTTAATACAAGAAGCAATTTTAGTGATAATAATTTCTAATTTTCTTTCTTCGGACAAACTAAGAAATCCATGGAAAATTTTTCTCCAAATTTATTACTTGTTAATATAATAAAAATTAATTAAGTATAATAATTAAAAATAAGAATCTACGGTTACAGCAATACATCGTTATATTTTTAGTTTATTTTAGCTATTAGAAATACAGCAATATCACTATATGTATACAATTTAATTATTTTTGCAAGTAATCTTTATATTCTTCAATAAAATTACTATTTTTTCATATTGAGTACAAATTTAAGTATTCAAGCATTCGATATTGATAAAATGGGAATTTCTCAGTATAAAACCATTATAAAAAGATTTCTTGTTAAATTTTTTTCGTACATGAAAACGATACCAAATAATTGAGACTTAAACGAGTTGAATAAAGTTTTTAATAACGTTTATAATGAGTCATATTTTAGAATTACTTAGAATATAATATAATATTAAATCAATTTTACTAAATTAAATTTAATCAAAATAATAAGAAAAAAGTCCTGCTTTATCTAATAAAATATTCTTTATGGAGCTAAAAACAAATCTAGGTGTTAAAATTTACGTGTTAATGTAAGAAAAATGTAATGTTGAAAATATAAAAGTTTCAGAATCATTGTAAATGTAATATGAAAATTTAAAATTATCTTCATTTAAAGCGCAATAAGAACATATGAACAGTATTTTAAAAATATTAATTGAAAAATGAATGTAAATATTGAACATTTTTAGCTTTGAAGATTTAAATTTGTAAAGCTGAAATTAATCATTTAATTTCATTATAATAATATGATATTTTTGTTGTAAACAAAATATTATTTCAACTAAACATTTAAATAAAGCCTCGCATATTTATACAAAAATCACGGTTTCTAATAATATTCTTACTATTTTCTTGAATAATAGTACAAAATTGTGTATAAAAAATTCGTCCATCTTGAGTACGAAAATAATCCGCGAGTTCAGAAATTTCTTGATTTGAAAGACCAACTTGTTTTCCCAATGATCCCGATAAAACAGTGATAAACTCCAATTCTAGAAAGAATAAACTTTATTATATATTTTTCAACCCTTTTCATTGTGAAATAAATAAACAAAAATATAAAGATTTTTTAATATAATAACAATGATGAAAATGAATAATTTATTATAAATTATGAAAATTTCAGAACAAGATTATATAATGATAAGTATATTATATATCACGCTTCAAGAAATTAAATGTAATTTCGTTATTAGGCCGTTAAACATTGGAACATTCGAAACATAAAAAAGAATAGGGCTGATACTTCTTATTATACTTTTTATTTACTTCGCTTCTTCTTCTCCGCTCTTATTTTAAATTTTTATCGATTCTATATAAACTAGGAAAATAATAAATACGATGTTACATTCGAAAGATAAAAATTGTCGGTAAAATTATTTCACGAAAAGAAATGAAAGTATCATAAAATATAATATAACATATCATAACACTTACAATCATCATAAAAAAAGATATAAAAAATATATAAATATATTTTTTATAAATATATAAAATAATTGCTGATATGCTTGTAAAAAATATTCTAGAAATTAATTTAAACAGAAAGACAAATTAACTATTAATTCTTAGGATATAGACTGCAAATAAAATAACAAGTTAAATCACCAATTTTTACAAGAAAATAATATGTCAAACCAAGAAAAAACTTTTTTTGTTATAAATCATTAAAATACGCATATTAAAGAAATTAGTCTTTAATTGTTTTAATTCTCAAAAAATTAAATAAATTTATAAAAATATTTTATTTCAAATTAAAAAACATTTAATCAAAAATTTGTTTTTCCAATTTTTCCTTAGAGCATTCTAGACCTTTAAAATTTTTATTATTAAATCTTAAATTCTTATTACGTTTTATTAAGTTTTAAATAAAGACGTGATTTTTTCTATTAAATACTAAGTTTAATACATTAATTAAAAATATTATTAATTACTATTATTAAATTAAGTGTTTATCTTAGAGATGCATAAAAAATGCTAATGTAACTAATAGAATTAACAACGAAAATAAAAATAAAATTGTTTTCATTTAATAAATAAATTAATAGGCATCTTTTGGATTTTTAGTTTTTCATTGATGTTAACGGAAATTTTATATAAAAGACAATAGATACAAGGGATTATTCTAAAATATATTTATTTTATTAATTCAAATTAATATTCTTCCAATATAAAAGAAATCAGTATATATTATTAAAAGAAATAATTTATACATATACATATATAAATCCTTATAGTATACAACGAGATTTTATAATGGATAAGGCTAAAACTTAAAAATATGTCAATTATAACACATTGTTAGAAAATTGTTTAATCCTTTCAACAATACCTAACACTGCTTTTTTAATTATTAATGTTATTAATTAAATGAGATATATATAAATTATATAAAATATAATGAATAAACAAAAATTTAGAACTCAATAGAGACGATAGCTTTCATTTAATCAATAGATTAATGGACATGAAAACAAAATACTATTAAAGAATGGAATTTGTAATTATAAATTCCGAATCTATGAATATCTGTACAAATATCTATAAGAAAATTAATTTTTTAATTTATAAAAATGTAGAATTATAAGTATATAATTTATGGAACAACTTCAACCTTTACAGGTTTCCTTCATTACCTTTTATACCAAGGATCGGAATAACAATTATTTATAAATTTAGGGTGTAGAAATATAAAATATTGATATTATGTAAATATTTATGAATCGAGTTTAATAATATCTCTATTTTCAGCATTGTGTTTTTTCCATTTAAAAAACATTTAAAGTAAAAGAAATTAGAAGTAAAACATTAAAAATATTTATTCCTCAATATTTCAAACAATATCTCAACATTTATTTCTCATTTTACAAAAGATGCAATAACCTCCAAAAGTATTAATTAGCATTAATAAATATTAAAAAAATGATCTAGTTACTAATAGAAAAATGTAGATTAAAAGAATTATTCCTGCATTATTAGTTGAGTTTATTAAAAAGCAGCAATAAAACTCAAAATAATCATTGCGAAAGGTATATTATAACACAAAATTAGTAATATTATTTTAACAATTAATGTGAATATTTTATAATAATTAATATAATATAATTATAATTAATAATTATATAATATCTATTTATAAAGTTAATATAAGTAGTATAAGTGTAATAAAACTGTAATATAAATATAATATAAATACTAAATAATGTAATATTCAGTATTCTATATTGTGTGTATAAATAAATTATTAATGTAACAAAGAATCGCATTCTATGAATAACAATATGTCATTATTAATATAATGTATACATTTAATCGAACGATCAAATAATATAATAAAGGGAAATGCAGTAATTATATAAACAATATTACTTGAAGATATTATAATCTAATCTAGAGAATATTTAGAAATTAAATAAATTGTTTACAAATTTTTTCCGAATCGATAATTTTAAAACAATACAAAATTGAATAAAAGAGCGGATAAATAATAAAGAGATGAAAGTCAAATAACTTGAAAAGGTATCCTTTAAAAAATATGAATAAAACATTTCTTATAATTATGATGGAAATTAACCAAAGGTAAATTTGTGTGATTGTTTCATTTTCAGTTGATAAATATAAATACAAAGAAATAATTTTTGTATTACTTCACTTTAAAGTCATTTCTATATTTTAATTATAAATGAAAATTAAAGAGAAATATAATTACGTTAAAAATGGCACAAAACCGTTTAAAATAATAACTAAAAGATTCACCTGAGATTAAATTATTTTGTTCTGTATCTAAAGGTGTAAAATAATCCCAAAGATTTATATGAATTCGACTGACAGCCGCACGAATTTTATTACAAGCTCTCCAAATACTGTGATTATTGAATTCCTAAAAATTTTCCAATTAATTGTTTATTTAAACATAATATATTAAAAATAAAATTTAAAATGAGGGTTATAAAATAGAAAACACTAATTTATAGAATGTTTTTAATATTATACCTTGACATTTTCACGCATATTTATAGTTTTAATTAACTAAATTAAACGATTTTTATATAAAATAAATATTACAATTTTTATTAATGCGTTATTTATTTATTACAATTTTTATTTAAATTATGCATTAAGTTTAGTACATCACTTAAATTTACTATTAAGATGTGAATCTGTAAAACAAATGACGTTTATTATTATTACATAATATAACAAATATTTAAAATAGGAAAAAGTAATTGATTTCATTAAATACGTAATTTTGAAAATGGACAAATAATAATAAATATAAATTTATACATAAAATATTATATGCTTATCATTATGTACAAATTTTGATATTACATACTTATATAAAAAATTAATTACTATAGAATCCAAATATAGAAAAATTAATATTGATTCGTTATATTAATAAAGTATCAACTGTAACAAATAATTAATTTGTTATAAATATTAATAATGTTATAATAAAATAAAATAATATAACTATATATTATTTATACGTAAATAAAGAATTACTGTATTATTTTAATGAAATTTATAATAATAGTAATTAGTTTACAATTAATTTTTACTAAAAAAATTTTAAAATAGCTTCTATCTAAAAGATGAAATCCGAATTTTCCAAGACATAAATAAATTATTAAGAAGAGTCAATAAAAATTTCAATTCTTAAACTTTTTAACGAAATTCATAAATATATACTGTATATATTGAAATAAATTTTTTATTAGCATATGTAGATTATGAGATTAAATTCATTATTATTTTGGTAATGGATCAAATAAAAATAACTTGATTAAATTAATTTATTTTACTTTATTGACAACAATATAAAAAATCAGTGTTATATTAAAAATTCGAGAATAATTATTGTTTATTTTATCAATTTTTTTTACTTTTTCATTTGAATTTTTTTGTTAACAGTGAAAAAATGTATTTATCGTGGTTTATTTGTAATTTACTATAATTTTGATATAATTGTTTTTTATTTTTTATATCATGCTTTTAATAATTTATAGATTACATAGAACAATCATTAGTATTAAGTCTTAAAAAGTTTTATTATTTATACAACTATATGTATTATATATTTTTACTGATCCTGAGATATAACGTACTTATTAATAATTTTCAAGGTCAAATAGTTGCATTTTTATTTTATTAAAATGATGCCTACATTCTTACGCTGCAATAAAAAGAAAACATTTAGGACAAATTTGTAGATCTTGGATAGTAACACTCCAAATCTTGCATAGTAATTTTTAAATTATAGAAAATGCAGCTGCTCAAAATATAGTTATGTACATTTGACTCACACTTTATAGTCTTACAATAAAACTCATTGAAAATAAAATACTAATACACATAATAATAGTAATAATAATGAATTTATTAATCTTTTTTATACTATATATCAATAATGTAACAAAATTGTACATTTACTTATAAAATTGATATTTTTAACAAACTTATTTCCACAAGAAAAAGTATTTGTTTTTATAAACAATATGTTCCATGAGTTATTAAAATAATTATTTTCAAAGTGCACCTCTTAAATACATAAACAAAATGGTTTACTATAAAATTTATTGCATATTTTATATTAACAATCTCACATTTGTAAGATTGTAAAATAATGTTGTAAGTGATTTGTGAAAAAGAGATTAAACACTTAATAGAAATTAATAGAATAAATTTATCTTAACTTTATATGTATGTTATTATGTACATATTCATAAAATAATGTATGCCATTTAATATCAATTTATTGCACCATAAGAACATTGACTTTATGTAATAAATTAAAAATCACACAAGCATATTTCAAATCTACACATTCCTTACAATTTTTTTATAAATATAATTAATGAAAAAATTAGAATAAAAATTTGAATATGTCAAGTATTAAAATAACATTTTATTCTTTTAAAATATTTCATTTCATGCAATAATGTAATTGTAAATTAATTTGAATATAATAGAAAATTAATGCATTATTTATTTTAAATTAATTATCGTGTTGTTTATTTTACCATTTTTTAATAACAAGAAATGTATACGGAAATTTATATATATATATATATATATATATAATTAGTTCTCAACTCATACCTACATTGCTTTAAAACGTTTATAACTTTAATATAATCCAAAAAATATATTAAGAATTGAAGATATAAAAATTATTTGTATAAATTATTTATCATTTATTTTACTATCCTTTTTATTTAATTTTTAATAAATTTTACATGATTAATGTATATTCTTAATATTATAACCTGAATATTTATAGTTTAAACAGTGTTAGCAAATAATATAATATAAAAATAACATTAAACTCAAAGAAGTTAATAACTATGTTATAGTTAATTAATTAAATAAATACTGAAGTATATTTTCATTATTGTTCCATTTAAAGCATTTTATAAAAATTTATTTGTAAACACTGGATAGGTCATATTAAATTTTTATTATTTTAAACAAACTTATTTGCCAAATATATCAGTTGGCTTTACCATTATAAACAAAAATTTATTTCTATTTAATTAATTGAAAATATTAGATACTTATTGTTTTTTTATTGAAAAAATAAAATACAAAACGAAAATTGAATGACTATATATTAAATATAATTTCTTTCATTACAAATATGTGACTAATTATTTACTAATTCATTTAATAAAATGAATAATTCTAGAATGAATCGAGTTAAAATTAATGTGTAACAATTTATGGCATTTTTACTAGTTCATTAAAGTAGATTAATTCCAATTATTGTTCATACTCATATTACGAAAATTCACAAAAACGATTACTTATAAAATTATAATAATTAAGTTTCATTTATTATAATTCTGCAATCACTAAATTTCAACTAATATGTAACATTAATCGATAGTTAATGCATACAATATTTGTAATGGCAAGGTCGTACATCCTAATAGCAATCTGATAAAAAAAGAAAACAAAAAACATCAAGCGCTTTATTAAGCACTATGTACAAAAGGTTCGAATTTGACACAATCGTTAATAAAAAAAAAAAAAATAATAATAATAAAAAAACAACCGTTTAAGAGTTAACAAAGAAAGGGAGTTAAGAAATCAGTATAAAATTATAATTTCAACAAAATATCGGATATTGTCTGGAATAGAATGATAATTGAGATGATACACGCGGTTTACACACTTTATTGATTTCCGGTTTGTGTACTTTACGCTATGACGACATACGAAAGTTCTGCATTAAGTCAGATGCTGACGAGGCATTGGTCGGTTCGAGTTAACCCCGACATATATCATCCATGATAACTTGGTGATTGTAGCGCCACCAAATGCGCAAATCACAAAAAGTCATAAAAAAATTAAAAAAAAATGGATGTAATGGAAACATTATTTCAACATTTAGAATTTCAATGAATAATTTTATCATCGAATTCGCAGCAATTCTTAATTTTATTAGTAACAAATATATATCACATTGTTCTTCAAAATCTAATCACAAAATTTAGAGTTCCGGACACGCCGGCCGGAGCCATCGATGTCTTCTTGCCTGCAAGGTTGTATCACGAACTTCAAAGACCCTGGGTTATATAAAGTTCTTTTTATTTTTAGTCTTATGACTTTTCGAATTTATGAGATTTTAATTCATTTAATTAAAAAAAAAAAAAGTAATTAATCGAACCCATGAACTTTTTTATCTATCACTATATATAAATTATAGCATTTTTATGCGATTAAATCTTGTTGTATCAATTCATATTGTCCAATATATTCATAAAATTATTTAATGTAAGAATACACATATTATAAAATATATGGAGGACAAAGTAAAATAAATATTAAAAATATTTAATAAGAGCATAGGTTCATAATTAAAATTTTAATACATACATTTAGAAAATGTCTCAACGAATAAGAATAAAATTAGTAACGATAAAACGCTATCAACTTTTACACGAACTTAGGTTTTCGATCAACTTCCTATCCAAAACATAAAAATACATTAAAATATATAAAATTAAAAACGCTCCGTCGTAATATATATAAATAAGGACGACTCCCGAACTCAAACAGTCGCATTGCAAAGATTAATGTATCATATATCAATGTATAGTTGATAACATTCCTTAAGAAACTAGAATCCTACGAGTGAATAAATGCGCATATAACCTGGGCCCTTTCATTTTTTGTGCCGCACCTTGCGACACTTCTCTCAAGCGCCATTGGTTGAAAGCGCGCGCTGCCAATGCCGTTTACCCGTCATGCCTTGCGTTCGACGCGTCCTCCCCCACCTTCACAGCCCTTCGATGCGGACGCGCGTCATCTCAGCTCAACGGCTAGCGCTACTCGCTTAAGCTTTGGCTTCGCCTACTCCCCACAATACTCCACACTAACTCAGTCTTCTCCATTCGGCAGTCGAGCAGTTCAGACGTGTGTCGACCGATTTCTCGCCGTACCCAAAGCCAGAGAAAAGGCGCGTTGTCTTTTCACTCTTTTAGCGCTCATCCTCGTAATTTTGGTCCTATCAACTCACGATTGTTAAAAGGTTTAGAAGAGAAGAAGAACTATGACTGAACAAGAAAATAAGGATTTCAGCGAGGATGTCGCTGAGCAGAATTTCGAGCAGAACGGCGAGGCGGAGAACGGTGGTGGTGGTGACGCCACTGAAAACGGCCAAGAATCCCAGGAAGACAGGTAAACTCTCCTTTGACCATCCATTTTGTCTGTACATTAATGAACAGTTAATGCATTTCTCGTAAACGCGCGTTCCGTTCTTCCTTAACCATTATCATTTATCCTTCCATTAAAGTATTTTTCATTGTGCACCATAAATCGATAAATTTTTGGACCGCGTTCTTAGGGCGAGTAGCCATCAAGCAATAATAATGAAAGAGGGGGTAGAGACTCGCGTCGATCAAGCCAAATATACGCCGTCATGCACAGGCACACAGCAATGATTGCCGCTATTGTCGCTACTATTAGTTCATAAAATGGCTGTCGCGTCGGATAACTTCCGAAATAGAATATAAACAATGTTCTTATCACTTCATGACTCAACCTCAGTCTGTTTTCTCTTTACCTTTATAAATAAAATGTCACTTTTACTGAATGAAAAACATTCGTTACGGTTTCTCCATATTAATGCAATCGTTCAGTGACTCGGAGAAGAAATTTAATTCATGGTAATTTCTTCTTCCGAAATTTAAAGAAATTGTTAATATAGCGATCGTGCTTAACTTGTTACGAAAATATGAAAGAACATACACGTGCATGAATTAAAAGCTCGGAAGAAATATTTATACTAAAAAAATGGCGCACGCGCTTAACTCCTTTTAGCTTGGTCACGCGCTCATATAAAAATTCTTTATATCTCCTTCAACGCCACACCATTCTAATGGCGTCGCTTGTGCCCCGCCTCCTAACGGAGAGGATACGATTTTTCTCCACCCCCGTCGGCGCGTTTGCTGTTCAAATATGACGCTGTCCTAAAATAGAAATTGTTTTTTTTTTTTTTTTTTTCTTTTCAAGTCATATTAAGAAATATTTATTCATAATTTATCGATAATCATAAAATTGTTTGATTCAATTAAAGAGAAAAAATAAAATAAAAATCGTGTATTTGTAAGTCAAATTGTGATTCGTAATTTAATTATAATTGATACATTTATTTTTTTTGAAATTTTTTTAAAGATCAATTTTCATTACGATTCAGACAAAAAGACATCACATTTTTAATAATTCTTAGATGTACATTACTTTAATGTTTAAAGACTTCAATTTTTATGGTTATAAAAGATTAATTTTAATAATTATTTTTAATATTTTTAAAGTTCAAATATAGTAAAATGGTAAGTTTAAAATAAATAACATTTGCATATTTAAATTATTCTTTTAATAAATAAGATTAATTAACTTAATATACAGTTAATAGTAAGTTCACAATATAGTTACTAATATCTTAGTTGTTAATTTCATATTTTTGAATTTTCTTTATTAATATTTTGTATAATTTTGTAGTTTTTTAAAAAGAAATTTTTGTAAATTTTTAAAATTTATGAAAGTACGATGTTATAAAAATTTTAAATTATTGAGTATACACATACACTTTACACAACACAAACATTTTTATCTAGCTGTGCAGTTGAACAAAATTTGGAAGTATTGTGCATGTATGTTGCAACGACGTGAGTTTGTCATTTTGCTTGGCGAACGTTATTTGATGGATTTGACTTGAGTAATAACTCGTGAATAAAATTATTTATAACTATCAGTGATAATATCTGTAATGTTAAATAATTTACTTGATGAATTATTCGATTCTATTACTCAATTTACGTTGTACGTGATCTTTGTCATATTCTATTTTTAGAGCTTAAGTATTTAGGATCGAGAAAATGTATTTTTCGGTACAAAAAAAAAAAAAAATTGAATGTAAAGTAATGTTTTTGAGATACAGAAACTCTTCAAATTTTGGAGCATTTTTGCAGCTGAATGTTACTTCGAGATCGAGACACTGAGAATACATCTTACCTCTTGGACTACTTGTGATCAACGTTCGCTTCTACATCAATTCTTCATACTTCAAAACTTCAGATCTTCAATTTTATTTGCCGCGAAGCCTTGCAAAAGTACAAATGCACGATAACGCAAATGATTAGAATATTACTGTTAAATAAGGTCATTTCTTTAAATACATGAAAAATATATACTAATTATCATAAATTTTAAATAGTCAACTCTGGAAAGACACAAATTGTCAGAGTCCATTTTAGAGTTACAATGAACTCTTAATTTTTTAATAAATTTGAGAACTTTTGTTTACTGTAAATTGAAAAAATTATAAATGAAAGCAAATTATTTCTTAAAAAAAAAAAAAAAAAATTGATATTCTCAAAATCTAAATAATATAGATTTTCTAAAATATCTGAGGTTTATAAAAAATGTTTGATAGTATTTATAAAATATATCTAATGTGTGTACATATATTTAAACTATTATAGCATTGAAATATTTAAAATAGTTTGAGATACGTATTTTAATATTCAAAACATTCAGTAGCATGTCGTGAAAAAATAAAGTCATGCATGAAATTTGGTGTTCTTATAATTAAAAATTTCATAAATCAATAAATTTTAATATATCAAATTGAACACCAATAATTCAAATAGGATTTTAATTGCTTTTCACTTGTAAAATTATAACGTAAAAAGACAATTTTTCATATTCCAGTAATTATGACAGTCGTAGTGATTTCTTTATTGATTACTGCAATCCATACAACAAACAAAAAAAAAAACAAAAAAAAAAAAAAGATGCTGCATTTTAGTTATTTATTTAAATACTGCTTACAAATTGTAGAAGATAGAGAAGTATAAAAGTAATTAATAATTTAAAACGTGTTTCAGTGTTTTTTTACAGACATTCTAAAAACTGTTTAAAGTGATGTGTCATTTCTAAATTTGTGTGCTCAAAAGTTTCTGATGTATTCAAACTTGATCGTGGACATATTTTGTATACTCAAATATATTGTAAAGATTCCTTATGTGCAAAAGTGCTTCTAGAAAATATAGCTGGATTTTTGAAGTCATTTAAAACAATCTTCGTTTAATGTAAAGTATCGTAAGCGCTCTAAACTTTTTAAAAAAGATAAATGTTTCAGGCGTTTTTATAGATTTACAAACAGTTAATAGTCCAAAATGCATTTCGAGTTTCGAGTTTTATTAAAAATCTCAAATAAAAGTGCCAATTGCATCGTGAGCCGGAGTATAATCTCAATTGTTAGCAAAAATAAACTGAGGTATCAAAGTAAACGTCTAAAATTCCCGTCTAAAGAATCATCATATGATAACGGTGTAGGCGCTTGGAATGCCACTAACCCAATTTGTGTGGCTTGGTCTGCAGGTGGCAAGCCAGTGTGCGAGCAAATGGACCTGCGTGATGAATATGGTGCTTGCCGATGGCTGCTTTCGCGGCTTCAACACCTGAGAGCTACAACAAAACGCAGATGACAACTCTCGGAAGCACTTGCCTCCACGGTATTTATCAGCAGCGGAGTTCAGACCTCAAATTCTTTGATAAAAAAAAATATATGTACCAAGTGAATTCCAATAATTGATACCGCGTATATTTGAAACTTCGCTTTGCCAAGAAAGTAAAATGTTTTAAAATAAAACAAGGGAGAAAAATCTTGAAGATATTTTGCATAGTAAAGAGTATACAAGTGATTTGGATCAGTTTAGAAGACAAAGACTATATTGCAGCATTGAGGTTGAGATGCATCACTACGATTTCAAGCGAAATATATTTTTTCAAGCTCAAAAATAGTTTTTAATATAAATAAAAACTTGCGTTTTGAATAATTCGTTGTAAAATCTGTAATTTTAATTTTTTATTGTAATGTTATGTAACTTTTATAATTTTGATGTAACTGTAATTATTTCTTAAAATTTCTCATTTTTACAGTATCTTATGATTTTGTTTATGTAATTATTTGCCATTTAATGTAATATATTTGTAGTAACGTCGTAATTGATAAAATCAATTAATCCTATTGAAGCAGTGTGCTGAACAATCACAAAATTAAATTTTTTCCGGAGTCAAATAAATAAAAATTAAATTTTTTTGACAGGGTTTTTAGATTCTTCCTTGCATTCCAGGAGTCCAAGTTTTAGTCAATTCTGTAATAATAGCTTTAACTTAATCATTTTTTTTTTTTTTTATTATTTAAAATTGGACGAACACCTAATGGATTCAAAATAAATCAGACGAAAATCTCTGGTATTCGTCAAAATACAATAATTAAAATTACCTTTGCAGGTTGGCTAAAGGAACCCAGGATTCGCTGAATGATAGGTACTTCCTTCCATTCTCTTTCTTGGCTTTCCTTCATGAAATTAGTTTTAAAGTAATATTTAAGCGTTGAAAGAAATTTCTCTTTAACCCAGCAGATTTGAAACTTCGTTTAGCTGACATCGATAACCTGATAATTGTACAAATTTTTGTTTTATCTGTAATACAATAAAACTATTGAATTGTTGTTGATAAATAAATGCGAAACTTCGCGTTTTATTTTGAAAATAAATATTGCCTATTACGATAAATTTAAATAATTCACACCTCTTTCAGTGATATTTCAATAAAGTATTTAAATGTCGATTAAAATAACCTGGATAAAAGTAGCAGTCTTATGAGCAATTAAATATTGAATTGAAATTTAATGGGAAACCTTAAACATATTTTTATTTCTTTGAAATTAATATGGTTCTCTTTTTTTGTTTTGCAACGTGTAGAAAGCTGTTCGTTGGTGGTCTTAGCTGGGAAACGACAGACAGTGAGTTTGTTTTTAAATTTTGTTAATTTCAGTAAAGAATTTCAAACATTTTCTAGAAAATTTTTATTCATTTGTTTGAAATAATTGAAGGAAAAACAGTTATAAAAACTTGTTAAGCTATGATGTGTAAACTTAGGACACCATCAGATAACATAATAAATTGTTACATGAGATAATAATGAAATACTGAGCTAGCTAAATTTAAATTTATAATCAAATTGAATTCTATTTTTTCAAAATTAACTGTGATTTAAATAATTATTATTCAGAAGATTGGTTTGTTAATTATTATATTTGTTTTTTTTTCAGAGGAATTAAGAGATCACTTTAGTACATTTGGTGACATTGAGAGTATCAATGTTAAAACAGATCCAACTACTGGTCGTTCCAGAGGATTTGCTTTTATTGTTTTTGCCAAAGCAGAATCTCTAGATAAGGTAAAGTTTATATTAAAAATAATCACATTTGTAATGTACTCTAAATTATCATGATGACATTAATTAAAAGTCAGTTCTGCTACTGAATGAAAATGAAGAATATACTTTCCTGAATTAATTTTTTATTCAATTATATTACTTCCAATGCTAAATAAAATATGAAGATTTATAAAAAAATTTTCTATTTAGGCTATGTCTCATGAAGACCACATCATCAACAATAAGAAAGTTGATCCAAAAAAAGCCAAAGCACGTCATGGAAAAATCTTTGTTGGAGGTCTGTCAACGGAACTTTCTGATGATGATATTAAGACGTTCTTTTCCCAATTCGGAACTGTATGTGCCTTTAAATATAAATATGCTTGATTGAATTTTATTTGATATTTAAATTGGAAATTTTTCTTTTTTAACAGATCGTCGATGTTGAAATGCCATTCGACAAGACGAAGAATCAGAGGAAAGGATTTTGTTTCATCACATTTGAATCTGAACAAGTTGCTAATGAGTTATTGAAAACAACAAATCAAACCATTAATGGCAAAGAGGTTGGTAATATTACGGTATAAAGAATACGGAATATAAATGAAAACAACAATAATTATATTAATCGAAAACTTTAAGGTTCAAGTGAAAAAAGCTACTCCAAGACCAGAAATGGGAGTTATGCGAGCTGTAGGTAGAGGTGGTCGTGGTGGCCGTGGCGGACGCGGCCGAGGTTTCGGCGGTCAAGGCGGTTGGGGTCAGGGAGGCTACGGTGGTGGATATGGTCAAGGAGGCTACGGTGGAGGATATGGCGGTGGTTACGATGGCTACGGTGGCAATTATGATTACTATGGAGGTGGCTACGGCGGCTACGGAGGTTATGACTATAGTGGATACGGTAATTTTATTTGAATGTTATATTCGTGTCTATTCATACATCATTTGAAAGAATCTCATAATGTACTATACTTGACGTATTTAAAATTTTCAACAACCTCCACTTTCATTGCCTTGAACTTATTCATTCCTCATTTCGCGATATTATCCTCAAGTACACTATTTTTCTGAAATTAAGATATTTCCAAAAAATATATAACATCTGCTTTATAACTCATGTTAATTTAGAATTTATTAATAAATATTAAACCCTTGCTGCATCCGGAATTTTATCCGTAATTGTCTATTAATAAAATAAAAGTAATTAAGAGATTTGCATTAGCAATATTTTATTTAAAAAAAAAAATATTGTTTAAGATGAAAGTGCGATCATGTGTGCGAAGAGGCGTGAATAATTATGTAGAGTTTAACTGTTTTAATAATATTAATGAGCAAAAAATAAAATAATAAATTAATTTGAAGACTTACGGCATTGTCTTTTGTTTTTGCACCGTGTGTTCCATGAATATGCAGACGGCTATGGCTATGGCGGTGGTAGTTACGATGGTGGCTACAGTGGTGGGCGCGGTGGTGCACGCGGCAAAGGTACGCATTAGCGTTCCTTTTGTTGACTTCCAACTTTTTATTACAACCACATCTTCCACAATTTATTCTTCGTGTTGTATTATTACTTTTATGCATTTAAATATTTTCTAAACGAAACAACTTTCAATTATCAGTTTTACATAAAAAATATATATATACATATATATATATATATATATTTACATTTTTATACCCCCTCGCGCACATGGCTCGACTCCGATTCATCGGATCAGTCATACTTTTTATTTTCATGTAGTATTTATTATTATTAGTATTCATCTAATATTCCATTAGAAAATCTTATAAATTTGATTCACTACCTTATTTTATACAACAAAAAAAAATTGAAACAGATGTGACATTAATTAATTAAAGAAATTTTTTATCACGCATCTCAAAATCGATAATTTGTCAAATGTAAAGAAATATAAATTCATATATGCATATTCATACCTTCTATTGCATGCTATATCTATCTTTATTAATAACTGAATGTCAAAATTTAAAATTACATTTATATAATACAATTTTCTCTATGCATGTTTTAATGATTAACAATCTTTGTCTCCTTAAGCTTTTTCAAATAAATAATCATGTATTATATAGTGTACTTCACAAACGAAAATAAAAATAATGAAAAAATTTTATGATCAAGAAATAAATCAAGAGTTTGCAGAGCATTATAAAAATTGTAAGTTTATGCAAGATTTGGAGATTCACTTAAATGGTAAATTAAAAATATTGACAATTAAGGGATCAAAGAAGAGAGAAATTTTACCTTAAATTATTACTAATAAAATAAAATACAATCAAATTGAATAATCTGCAACTCTACTACCTTAGCCTGTAGCCTCAATAGAATTTTATCTTTTATTCCTTAAAAGCTTCTGTAAATTTTTAATTATAAGATTTTCATGAGTTGATACTGGAATATTTCAAACATAAAATGCGTTGAATGCAATATTTCATTCATTTTAATTTTCGTGTCATTTGATTAACAATTAATAGAATGATTTGTTATAGTTAGTAAATTAGTGTATTGGCTTTTTAGTGTAGTAGTTGCTATTAATAAAATTGTAATAGAAATTAGTCTAAACCATCCGACTGGTTATGTTCCAGGAGGCTCAGGCTTTGGCGGAAAGCAGAGAGGTGGCGGCCGCCAAAACCAGAGGCACCAACCCTATTAAAGCCACAAATTTTCTTTCGACCGCGATGCCACTTGCATCGTAACTATTGGTGAGTTTCTCTCTTTTTCTGACCTTCAATTTTTTTTTTACTGTTTTTTTTATTTGTTTAATACTACATTAAAACTACTTTCATTTTAATTGAATAGTTCATTTTGATTTTCATTATTTTTTATTTTTTGATCAAGTATAATAATGTTTTATACTTTGTTTACGAATTGAATCAAACATTATTTTAAAAATAAATTGTTAATATGTGTTGTTATTCTTAATTTTAGGTCACCCATCCTATAACAATCGTAACTCGTCAAATCATCATTCCATAACAAAGCCTCGTCATTTTCAACAAGACTCCCAAGCGCAACCGCGTAGGCAGTACCAATCATCAAATAAAGTTCATCGTGCATCATAGCCGTCAAAATATCATCACTCAGAAGCATTTTGACAAAAAAATTTAAGCTTTGCCAAAAAGCAAAAACAGCTCGCTTCGTCGCGACTATAAGAGGTTAACTGAAAACTACTTGTATAAAGTTAAAAGTGACGTAAGATCATCAATTTCGTCTACTTTTTGCCTCAAATAACTGTATTCTGTCTTTGATTTCTACACAATTAGAACTTTGTGACAATTAGCCTTTTAATTAAAAATGCTACATGTATAAGTTTAAGTGCAGCAGTTACAAACAAATGTATATTATTAATCATTTTTCAATAATAATTTAATTACAATACTTTGTTTTTGGATGCTTATACAAAAATTATCTTTCTCTTAATTACGCTACTGTAATAAAAAAATCTTAACTCAAATGAAAATATAATTGTAGATAAATGAATACGTGAATCTTATTTTTATGGCGATGGAAGCGAGTTTTGTACAAAAAACTCAAGTCAAATCTTAGAAGTTTAATAGCAAATAATCGATCGGTAATTGTGAAGAATAACAACTTGTATTACATCGTTTATCATGTGCAAGTTTATTTTAATTTGTTTATAACTTAGTTTGAAAAAGTGAGCGACAGAGTTATTGTAAAGAATTGAATAGGCAATGTACTTTTTACAAAATGAAGAACAAAATGATGAGAATTGAATCATTTTCTATAATTCGAAACAATCAAATTTCGAAATTAAAACGACATTGGTCAATAAGTTCATCAACAGTTTTTTTCTTATTTATCTTAAGTCACAATGAATTTTCTTTTTTCAAATTTGTTAGTATCTAATTTAAATGTCTATAATAAAGTGGAATTTACAAGGAGTAAAAGAATAAATTGATATTGTTTTATGAACTTTTTGAACAAATTTTGTCAGTTTGTTTTAAATAAAATAAAATGCGAAAATGAAATAACGTAAAAAGATGATTGCTTCCTTTAATATTATTGGTAAAAACTAGATTTAAATAAATTCATTTTGTGTATATAAAATTTATATTCATATTTCGTTATTTTCCATTACCTTAATTTTTTATATATTTGAAAATCGAAATAGCTAGCGAAGAATCTAATTAGTTGAAATTAACATATTTCATAAATAATTTAAATTTTAACAATTATTCAATGCAAATGTAAAAAATTAATAAAATTATTTACAAAAATCTTTAATACAATTTCGTTGTGACGCTTACAATTGATTACCCACGTGATATATATTTATATATATATGTATATGTAAATACATTTTTTCAAGTAAAACCGAGTGACAAAAATCTACATCTAAAATTGGATAATTGTTTTATAATAAATAAAATTTATGTTGGCAAAATATTTAATTTTTCTTAATGAAAGTAATTTATTTAAAATAAATATATTTGAATGAAATACATTTCATTAACAGTGGATCAGTTACTTATTTCTTTATTGACTGAATTAATTATTTAAAGAAAGGCTTCAAATAGTATATTAACATATATTGAAATTCAATTTCTACTTAAAAATATTATTTTGTATACGATTATATCTATAACTACGTTTATATCGAGATTCGTAACATTTTTTAATGCTTAGATAGTAAATTAGGAATAAATTTTACTTGGAACGTATAAGGAAATTATTAATAGGTAAGTAATAAAACAAAATTTTAAATGCTCTATTTTTATATGTTTAGATATAATAAATAATTGAGGAATAACTAAATATTTAATAATTCCAATGCGCCTTGAGTAAATACTTTAATGATACGTCGATTTGCTTAGTTGAGTGAATCAAAACTTACACTTCCGATCACTGAATTAATATTTCCGATTCGTAAACACATGGATTTAGTTGATTGTACAATGCAAATGTGGTAAATAAGAACGCTGTATCATATGGCTAAGCTTAATTTTTACAGTTCGTCAATCAGTATTTCGATAATTGAGTATATGAAATTAACTTAAGCTTCATATTAATTTTTTGTTATACAAAACGGTAATTGTATAAAAAAAATTTGCAATTCGAGCTCTTATTAAGCAAAAGAGAAGGTCAGTTAATAGTGGCGCATGCAATGTATCGATTCATGTCAATATATTTGCCACTCTGTTTAATGATAAAGAACTTATCGAGGTAACTCTGATTACATCAGTAATTCCTTATCAGATTTCTGAACGAAGGTGAAGGTCATTATGGATTTTATCTCGATCGCATATTTGAAATATTCGACTACATTGAATAGCCATGAATTTTCAATTATAAGTACTTCGGTTTAAGGCATCGATCCTGAATTTTTTTAAGAACTAACCACGAGGTTTTACGTTGGCTGTTCACTAAAGTGCAACGACGGTCTTCTCAACATTTGCTGGATATGCAAGGTTACGTATGGTACTGAATAAGTGGAAGAATTAAACTTGTGAAGATTAACTACACTCTATACAGTACAAGAAATAAATTAAATATCGCCTTTGATATATATTAACAAGTTGTTAAAATATGCTTAAAATATAACTGCATTAATGATGAATTTTGTCAATGATAATAGTTGACGGTATCTAGAAAGTGGTGCAACTTGAAAACTGTAATGTAGTCTGTAGGTTAACACGACTTGTACTCTAAGGCTTTGGAATTTGGTATATTTTGAATAGAATTAGAGTGCTCTTCTTCCACACACTTTTCAGTTGATCCCCTCATTTTTTCTCACGGATGGGATAGATGAGTCATTAAAAATCTTATGTGCACAAGATAGAAAACATAAATATAAACCGAAGTTAAATAGTTCTGACACATGTCAATAAAACATTCCATAATTTGTCTTTACTACATTAAAAGATTTTTTCATACTAGAATTTTATAATTATACTTGTTTAAAAATATTTCTCAGCTTTTATAAAATATTTTATACTTGAAAGTTTTTATTAAAATATGAAAAATCTCTTTAAAATATATATATTTTGTTATGAAATTTATTCAAGCTCTTTATAAGCTAAATTTTCTTTAGTAGAAATTCTTATTATGTGCATTAACTATTATTATTCGTAATTAAGCATTTGTACGAATGAAGATTGACTATTTCTGTATATTGATTGTATTATGTTGCAAAAACCTATCGATTTGTCTTTATTGTTCATGCCTTCAGGCATTAATTGAAAAATGGTTATAACTGTAGAAAAGTAAAAGTTAATCTTTTCTAACTATACTTATAGTACTTTTAATAGTATTATAAAATTAACATTTTATATTCGAACATTGGATTCAAATTTAGATAACAATAACATTTATTTATGCATTGAGAACATTCGGTATACTTTTATAGCTATCTTGATTCAATTAAACTAAATGCAAAAAATTATTATTATCCTTCAAAATACACATTAGCTATTCCACAATAAAGATGAAATTAATTTATTAATAATTATATTATATATAATTCTAAGTGTAGTCAAGTTCTTATTTTTGCTTATGCTGTCCAAAATTCATTTCACTATTATATTTTATTTCATTAATCACTAACATATAAAAATTATATTTAATTGAGAAGAAAACGAAGAAATTTATCTCATTCGGTGTTATATTATTATTATTGCGAATAGAAAAGAGGCCTTCTTTTAGAAATCGAATCCTTTTAATATTTCCGATTTCTTCATGTACTTGAATTTTTTTATTTTATATATAAAAATATTATTTTTTCTTGTCAAGAATCATATTGAACGTATTCATTTTTTTACGTATAATAATAAAATAATATTTTAGTAATTATTATTAAATAAATAAATATTATTTTATAAATTATTACAAATACTTTTTGTTTTATTTTTTTAATTGTCACCAGTTATTTTGTCGATGTGCAAAATGTAAAAAAATGCCTTTCTAACTGTAGTATATATTATCTTATTTCTTTATTTACATCAAAGAATTTTTGGAAAATTTCTATAAAATGGAATTCTCGACTCATACTATATAACTTATCTTTATAAAATGTAATTATGTTGTCACTTCAGGTTACACAGAAATTTTATTAATTTTCTATTTTTCCATTTATATTTTTAGTGTCACATTTTATTACTATTATATAATAATGTTATGCTATTTCAAAGTTTATCGTTTTCCAGAAATATTTAGATTATATCTAAATTATATAAAATATCTAAATTATATTTAAATTATATCTATAAGATATAAAACAAATATAATTTAAACCTTTTCACTATTATTAATTTGCAATTATAAAATTATAGTTCCTGGAACATGCTTTTTAATTTTATTATTTTATTTAGATACTACTTTATTGAGTAGTAATTGTTCTTTTTATTTTGATAATATATTTGTTTTTATTATTATTCATTTCATCTAATTTGTTTATATTATTATTATATTTTATCATTATTATTTTTTGCATCTAATTCATTTATATCATTATATTTCTATTATTTATTGGATTGAAAAAATTGATCAATATTTTATCAAATCATTTTCTAAATCACTTTATGTGTTATATGAATTGTATTTATGTATTATAGAATCTATTTTGTAGCGTTTTTCTATGTTTACGCTCTTTTTTACCCCTTTTTTATCTCTTATTCCGGCTCTCTCTCTCTCTCTCTCAATTATTTTTTTTTTTAATTTTGCCGCGATATTCATCTTTTATAGCGCCGCCATAGTAGAGGGAGCCTGCGTCATTATAAAAATCAGCCACCATAGGAAACAATATTCCCCAATCGTATTAACTAACGGTTTCCTTATTTCATTAAAGAATTTGAAATATTCAATGCAGTTAATTATTTCTTTCGTTTAAAATTTTTATCATTACTTTTTATTTAGTTATATGGAAGATAGATAGTTTTACTTTTTAATTGCGCCTTATCATTGTGATGTTCCATTTTGTTATTAAGAATCACATTATTTTTTGTTTTTCCACCTTTTTAGATGTAAAATCCTAATGCGATTACGATTTTTGTAAAAGAAATAAGACATAAATGTAAAATTTCAAATCTTTCCGAGTGCCAAAAATATTTATTAACGCATCCAATATTTTGATAATTAACCTATTTTATAATTTTGGATAAATTGATTAAATCGGTTCCTTGCGATTATTGCAATTTCGTTTAAAGTTTTATTTTTATATCATTTTCAAATAAAATTGTTGTAATCCGAGCTTACTATTAATTAAAAACGTATTCAATATAAATTAATAAATTCATTCATTTTCTGATGCATCACTCAACATTTATGTTGTTATAAACTATCTTAGATCGATCGGTTTCTAATTATAGATACCAAAAAAATGTCTTTAAAACATAATTTATGACATCGATCTACTTCTTAGAATAGTATTTGTGAGTTGGTCGCGTTAGAAGAGATGTATCTGTAGTAAAATTATTACATTGATTCCTGGTATTGATTCGATTAATATATTTAATAGTATATTTTCATATTATTCCATGATTGGTAAAAAATAAAAATAAAATTTTACCTTGGACTTCGTTTCTGGTTGCAAGACTTTCTACTACTAAACTGCTGTTACTCGCGTAATTCGATTAAATGCTTTATGAAGTCATAGTATTAAAATAAGATAAAGTATTATCAAAACATAAGATATTATACTTAAAAAAAGCTTCAATATTGGAATTGTATTACTTACAGTATATATATATATTTTTTAGAAAGAATAAGCTTTATAAACTCCTCACTTATTAGAAAATAAATAATAATAAAAAATTAGAGTAAAACAAATTATAAAAATATATCAAATATATTGGAATTATAACATTTGTTAATATTAAATATATATATACCAATATCTGTGACAAGTATTGTAAAAATAAATATTTTTAGTATCGTGTACGGTTTCACAAAAATGTACCAAAATTGATGTGTTTTCAATTAAATCAAGTAAAATAAATGAGTTGAAGGTAAAATCATCATTTAAATAATTGTAAATACTATAAATAAGTATAAACAAAAATTCATCAATAATCAGTTCATAAATAGTAAAATTGATAATTTATAAAATATTAATTTTAATACTATTAATTAAAGTAATAACATAAAATATAATAAATATGTATTTGGAAATACTTAAACAAAATTATAAGAAGCAAAGGCTTAATGTTAAAAATAGGTACACTGTTTTAATAAAATAAAAATAAATGATAAATTACTTAAAAGAATATTGCATTTAATAAGTGCAAAAACAAAAATTGTAAATAATATATTTTCTTATTTAATGTAAATAAAAAAATAAGATGCTTGTATTCTATGTAATAAATAATTTAAAAATATTACAAGGCTTACTTTGTATTATAATTATACAAAGACAATGTTGTTTATACTATATATAAACATTATAATTTTATTCGCATAAAATAGTATTGAAATTATAAAAATAATCAATGTGCAATTATATTAAAATTTTATTATTATGTTATTTATAATATTTATATTATGTAAGCATCAGATCTTATTTATATTTGTATATTACAGATGTTTAATAATTCTATTTATACAAAATATGGAAATATACAAGTAAAATCTATTATATTTAAAATAAAATTGTATTAAAAAATTTATTTTATAATAAAATTATTAATTAATAAAATTAAAACTATAAAATTTTCTTAATAATTCTTTTTAGTATGAAATAATAGTTTTAAATTGTATTATAAAATGTTATATTTTATAAATTTTATTTATTAAGGAACTATAAAGTAAAAAAATTTTCATTCAAGAAATTATAAAAACAATAATGATTTCTCATAAAATTGTATATTAGATAAAACAGAATAATAAAAAAATCTATCAAATAAACGAAACTAAGTATGAAAAAAAATAAACTAAGTGGCACAAGTAACAAGTTCATAAACAAATAATTGTGAATGAAAGTAAAGAGATTTATTTAGAATACAATCAATTTTTAAAAAGTATCCGAAATTTGTACATGACAATATTCTTAGTAAATCATGAAAATTAATGTATGAAGATTTCTAAAGAAAACAAAAACACGCATTTCTAAGTCTTATCATTTATTATATTAAGGGCAGTTAGAATAAATGTAACAATCATAATCAATTAGCTAGTAGAGGGAAAAAATTAGATAAGTTATAGATTGCTTATAATAATCAGATAAATAATATAAATCCCAATCTGATAGCAAGTTATAGAAGGAAAAACGTGTCGATATACAATAATTAAAAAATATCATATTACTGACTTATTAATAATATATTTATCTCTAAGAAAAGAAAAATATTAAATATTTCTTGTGTAAAAAACTTTTATCTAATAACAAATACAAAATTTGATGGAAAAATAGTATTAATGTAAGTCACATAAGATATTATTTGAACGATTTCAAAAAAAACGTTATAGTGAATTAGGATGTCATAAATATCAATTTTCTAAGTACAATATACAAGAGAGAAGAAATGTAATAAAAACAATATATAAATAGATTTCTGTAAATTATCATCAATATTTTTAATAAAAATGAGATATATAATACATAATACGACATGAATTAGAAATAATAAATATATAATGTATTTGTAATAAATAATAAATATTTAAGAAATATAATTTTTCAAGTGATAAACAGAGTATTTAATATTGAAAATTTTTTAAATTTTAATAATTTATTATAGATTGAAATTATAAATACATGTTTGGTTTATTTTATTGTTATTTGTATATTATCATTAATTTGTATCAATGCAGTAAATATGAAATATTAAATATTTTAATATTTAAAATGTCTGATGTTACTCAAAGAAAAATCTATGTCAAGTTACATGTTTATTTCCATTGATAATTAATAAAAATCATGGCCTACGATATATTCACGTTAAGTTTACTTTTTCATACTGCACTGTTTTAATGTCAATTTTCTGAATTTTTATAACAATACATTGTATTATTTCTTACAACAGTATTTTGCTGAATAGAATTTGAAATGTATGGATTAGTTTATTACAAGTCTTGAAAGAGTTAATTTGAAAGTGAAAACATGTTGTTTACTATTGGTATATTGATAAAGCAATATTATATTACTGAGTAAAACTCATGAGTTTTATCAAATGAACTATTTTTAAATAATAAAAATTAATGCACGATTCAATTGGTATTCTACACAATATATAAATAATAAATAACAATTTTATATAAAAAATTTAAAATTTATAAAAGTTAATATCCATACGATTGAATGATTGAATGGTAACATTTCAAAGGTGGAAGTAACTTGAAAATTCAACAAGCATATAAAAGTAATTTAAATATGTATGATCCAAGGTGGACGTTGATTAACTTGTCTATTGCGAAGAATGGCTAAGTTGGTAAGCCCTGGCTTCCGACGAGTGGAGGAAGAACATGCGGGAGTAGGTACGTAAAGTAGCACAGCCTAACTCTTAGCTACTTGCGGGTTTGTAGCTAAGCTTCCCACACCTCGCGTTGCGCGCGCCCCTATACGGGATCTACCGAATCTTCTAGTGCATGTGCTGACAGCGTTCTATCCGACTCAACCTCACGATTCGCGTTTCTTCGTATACTTTGCAAGCTTTTACTCATATTCACCAATCTTTCCCGTACTACGAACTTGCTGATCTAGGATAATCACGCCGCGCGTCTCCCAGACACCTAAATCAAGTCAGGGAACAACGGCGCGAATTTCATTCCAACTGTAAGTGCACGCGGACCTACGAGCGATAGTCGAGGGTACCGCACACGTTGCCGTTGTCCTTGTACTGCTACTAGCTACTAGCGTTCGTTAACTACTCGAGGCCGCTGCTCGAGCACGCATAACGCGCGCACCGGGCCGACCGCCGAGCCCTGGCTAAAGGACGAACACCACCAGAAATAAAGGTAAGGCGCAGGCTTGAACTTCCGGCTACAGCTAACTCATGAGTATGAGATTTACGTGAGACGAGCAATCGCCATGCTTGCGCCGGTAGTGAGCTAGCGCGAGTCTTGCATGGAAATTCGGTAGGTTGCGATTCGAAAGAAAGCATGTTGCCAAGTTTACAACTAGGAACATCTTCCTCAAGAACCTCTAACGCGCCCTCGACCTTTTTCTTTTTTACAACGAAAGACTATCTACCTCTCCCCCCCCCATCCCGCCCCCATATATATATATATATATATATATATATACACGCGAGCGCGCGCATATCCATATAAATTTATATCATGCATATATATATATCCCCATCACGCACACGCTCATTGTTCACAGACTCTTGTTCATTCGCTTGCATATTCGCTCGATAGATTTCTCTTGTGGCGCTGGGATACTAAGCGTCGACTTTTTCCTCGGTCTCTCGTTCTCGATCAATGGATTTTTAAGTTTATTTACGATTTGGAGGTAGAAAAACATGTTATTTATTTTACTAATAAATTACTGTGAGCCAATTAAGTTTACTCGTATTGTCTTGTGAAACTATTTCAATTTTCTGATTCTTTTTGTATTGGTCAGTGAGAAAAAGGAATACACCGGGGTGGGTAGCTCAGCTCGAAGGTTAATCTCAAGACCTTTGAAAATGATTTCACGTGCTCTTGCTTCTTTCACTGTATCTATAGTGTACTGGAATCCATCAAATCAACAACTTTTTATCATTTAAAATACATCTAATTCGTGAACACGAGGATTCACTTTTGTTTTATAATTATTTCTTAATCACAATTAATTTCTGACATTCAATAAGAAAGAACTACTTATAAACATTTTATTTTTTTAAATTTCATTAAATATTTAATATTTAAAAAAATGTCCATATCTATTGTTATGAAATATTTGTGCATATATTTTGTACCTAATAAATTTAATTTATTTTTAAAAAATTTATTTAAAATTTTTAATAAATTGTTAAATTTATTCATTTCAAGTACTTGTATGATTTTATATTGTATTATATTATTTATATATTTGTTAAGTCATTCAAAGACATCATTTTCAATCTAATTTCTTTTGTGCTAGAATAGATAAAAACTTTACAGTAGCACATTAATTTATATTGTATTGTAATTATATATATTATCTTCTTTTTTTATTAAATAAAAATATACTTTACAGACAATACTTGCCTTAAAGTTAAGCTGTACCTAGCTATTAAAGCCAAGAACAATTAATAATTTGAAAAACTAAAATTTTACAAGAAGGTAGACAGGAAATGGTCATGGAGGTATCCCCCTCACCTCAATGCGTCGGTCGTGAGTTTGTCCGACAATATTATACTTTACTTAATAAAGCTCCGACACATTTACACAGGTTTGTTTTAAATCTAATAATTTGTTATTAATTTGCTTCTTTAAATTTGTTTCACTTTTAATTTCTCTAATTAATTTTTTTTACTTTGTGACTTTTAGGTTTTACAATAATTATTCATCTTTTGTTCATGGAGGTTTTGATACAAATAGAGAGCCCAATCCAGCAATTGGTCAAAAGCAAATTCATCAAAAAATTCAAGCCTTAAACTTTCAAGATTGTCATGCTAAAATTAATCAAGTAGATTCACAATCAACACTTGGTAATGGTGTTGTAGTTCAGGTATTTTACTTTAAATTAAGTAATTTTAAGAAGTACAAATAATCAAATCAGATCAAGTTTTCAATTTTTATTTTTATTTTTAAATGTACACACTCATGTAAATTATATGTTGATAAAAATTGCTTCTATAAATTAATTTATATGTTATATTAATATGAAAATTCATATTTATATAATTTAACAAAATTTAATACAAATGACAATACTATTTATCCGAACAATATTTGATACAAATGTTTTTAAATAAATTTTATAAAATAAGTATAAGATAATGTTATAAAAGATAAGGTATAAGTAAATATTTTAAAGTACTATTAAAAGTTGTAGAGACATTTAAATTTATTTCTCTAAATAAAATAAATATTACTAAATGTTTATTTTAGGTTTCAGGTGAATTATCTAATAATGGTCATCCAATGCGACGTTTTACACAAACGTTTGTATTAGCAGCACAAGCACCAAAAAAGTATTACGTACATAATGATATTTTCCGTTATCAAGATTTTGGTTATGGTGACGAAGAGGAAGAATTAGAAGGTGAAAGTAACATCAATGAAAATGCTGAAAGAGAAGGTGAGGTAGAAAATACACGAGCAGAAGTTGAAGACGAAGACCATCAAAATGAAGCTCAACAATTGGCAACTAAAATTGTTAATACTGAACAACATAGTCAGGCACAACAGCAACAAGTTGCTCCTATGACCCAACAGCAACAAGTTTATTATACTATGCCTTCTCAACAACAGGTAAAAAACTGTACATTTAATTATATAATTATTTAACATTAAACTGGTTTAAATACTTATAACAAATATTATGTACTAGTACTGTATAATCATGTTATCTTAGATTCATCCTGTTATGCAGCAAGTTACAATAAATGGATCTGTTCACGAAGATTCTTCAATTATTTCTCAACAACCACTTCAACAGCAACCACCCTTACCACAGCAATATATGGCTGAACCAAATAATCAAGAGCAATTTCAATCGGAGAGTGAACAAGACTCTGTATCTCAACAACAACAGTCAATTAAAACTGATTCTCATCCTACATCAGAAGAAATTAATGAGCAGCCAGAGATTGATCAAAACTATACACAATCCACTCCAGAAACTGAAACTGAACATCAAATTTCGTCCCAAAATATTAACAATAGTGGACCAAAAACATATGCAAACTTGGTTAAATCTTTTCCTAACGTTGGCTCTACTAGTCCCCAGGTGCCTAAACCATCATTATCTCCGGTACATATTTGATTTTAAAATTATTATGAAATAAATAATTCTTATTATAATATCTTTTTCATAATTTTATTAGCCCCCTATTCAAAATATGCGTATTGATGATCGCATATCAGCACATCAACCATCTACAGGAGCATCTGTCCCAACTTCTACGGGTACAACCATAAATCAGCATGTACATAGAATGACTAGTGTTCCTCAACAACAGACGCAAACTCAACAATATCAGCAAAGATTACCTAGAACTGGTGGTCCAATTCAACGAGGTTAAAACCATATTAACTAATTATGAATTTTTTTAATTTATACAAATTATTTTATTAAAGCTTAAATATAGTACTGCTTAAATTTTAAAGTAGAAATTTTTAATTTTTAATTTTTAATATTATAAAAAAATTTTAAATTAGTCTTATTGAAAATATAATACAATACGTTATATTTATTTTAACTTAATTTTTTCAATTTTCAAAATTTATTATTTTTTTTCTTCGTTTTAGATAACTATCCTATTTTGCATAATAAATAGAATTTACGTAAATATATCTAAAATTACTATCGAAATAATTGTAGATGGAGATCGTCGTACTGGAAGATCTGTTGGTTATACTGATTCACATCAATTGTTTTTGGGAAATCTGCCTCATAATGCTTCTGAAAATGATCTTAGGCAGATTTTTGAACGATATGGACGTGTAGCAGATCTTCGTGTACACAGTAAACAAACCGATCGTACAAAAGGACCACAAGGAACAAACAATACCAGAGTTCCAAATTATGGATTTATTACGTTCGAAGATTCATCCGTTGTTAATAAAGTACTTGATAATTTGGTAAGTTTGATATACTAAAATTTATTATTATTGGAAATATATGCTTACCGTCTCTTTTTAATTTACAGCCAATTTACTTCCCAGAGAAAAATGGCCAGAAATTGAATATTGAAGAAAAAAAAGTGAGGCCTAGGGAAGGAGGAGGTGGTTGTGGCCGTCTGAATCCAGCAGATGGTAACATGCGTCCTATGGGAACTCAGCAACAACAACAGCAACGTTTTCCAGGTACTATTGATTTGCTCTGATTTAAGGATTAAATTTTATCACCATAGTTATGTACAATAAAAACTGAAATAACCTAAATATAAACTGTAAATTTTAATTGTTTTAGGCATCAAAAATTGTATATGCGGAATTATATTTATTTATTTATTTATTTAAATTTCGTTAATAAATTACATTGATTTATACGATATAATTAGACATTACTGAGAAATAGTTCTATAATTTGAACATTCCTAAAACGTGGAAATAATTTGATCTTTTTCATTCAAAATATTTATAATTTTGAAGATTATAACTTTTGTCAATGTTAATTAAATTTGTAAAGTAGATGTATTGATTTATATTGATTAATTTTTTTTGTATACTTTTTAAAAATAACAATCAATATATCACAAGGTAAACACATGTTTAAGAAAAATTACTCTAAATTATTGATATTTAATTAAATGTAGATATTAAATTGCATGAAGTTTAAAAAATGTATTTTAACATAGAAAAAATTTTTAATTGTACCATTATATTTATTATTTATTACAATTCATTTCAATTATTTTAATTATTACTAAATATAATACCGCTTGTGTCTTGTTATTTCTTTTATTTAATTATAAATCAATTTGCACAGATAATATGTAATAAATTAATTTTATTTACAATCAATTTAAAAGATAGGGTTCATTGGGCTAATAGGATACATTTTAATGATTCAGGTGGTCCAGGATTGATGCGAGGTGGACAGCAAGGAACACGCGGACGTGGCGGTTTTAACCGTGGTGGAGGCGAAGGAGGTCGAGGAGGAATTAGACAGCCTGGTGGAAATCCAAACAATCAGAACTACCAAAATCGTCGCTAATTCTTGACAAATAATCTTTGGATTTTGACTTGCAGCAAGCAAGACTTACCGCTCATTTGATTAACACATCAAGATTAAACGAAAAAACGAAAAAGACAAGAGTATAAATGATAATTGAGCTTTGCTCAAAAGAACCGTATGTAAACTAAACAATTAAAAATAGGCAATCTCATGGAAATGATATTCTGATCCAAAAGGAATAAAGCTTTCACGAGACTCTTCCTTAAAAAAGAAGATCAGTGCAACATAAACTTTTTAAGCGTGAAAATTACCAGAGAAACAAGACATACTTGGGGAATAGAATACAAGTACGCTAATGCGCAAGCACAGAGACTATTGTCAATTCTCTAAGTTGACATCGACCTAAAAATAGCTTTACATAACTTAATTAAAAATATATTTAAGAACTTTTATTATTTTCATCAAAGTTAAATTGTGCTTAATTTAATTAAGACACATGCAAAAATATTTACCATTCTGTTATTTGTGTAATTCCTGCTCGATTTAATTAAGTTATGCTTAAGTTATACTTGGATAAACAATGCTTGTGAAAAGCGAAAATTATTTCGTTTAAGTCATGCATTCAGAAATTAGGTTGTGCTTAAGTTCATTAAGTTGTGCCTTAGAGTAATGGCAGTCTGCTTAAGTTAATTAGGTTATGTTTAACAAGGTACAGAGAGACATTTTAACGCAGCATTCATTGCAATTATTTATCATTCGCATAAGTTACTATGTACAAAGTTTTGCATAACCTAATTAGCCTTTATATAGCGTTTTCATATTTTATATCACTTTATTACGATTTAGTTAAGTTTATTCTTAAGGACTACGTATTTTTGTTAAGCCTTGCTTAACTTGACTAATCTTGGCATAATTTTTTTATACTGCATAACCTAATAAATTTTTGCATAACTCCGATAAATTTTGCATATCTTAATTAACCGTTTCATAATATTAAAATCCTGTATAAACACTTAAGAACAACATATAATTTGGAGTTGTGCATAAGTTTAATATCTTTTGTATAACATTTCATATCTTGATAGAACTTAATTAAGTTTTGTATAATCTTTGTCAATTCAGTACAAAATTTAATTAAGTACCATTGATAATATAGCCTTTTTGATTTTCAATGTTAAGGAAACTGGTTTTCCTCAACCTTCCAATATTCCTGAATAAAATCTTGAATAAGATGGGAATTAAGCTGTAAAGTTAGTCATCCAAATTTTTCTCAGAATGGCCAAAAATCATTGTAAGAAATAGTTTATTCTCGCCACTTACTAAAAATAACTAGTTAAATAAAAACAACACTTTGAAAATTATTACCATTAAAAAGTATATGATTAAATTAGAATTTTGTATAAAATTTTAATTGGTATGGATAAAAGTTCTACTGTCTACGAAATTTCGCCTAATATCAATCCCAATTTTAATATACACACAAATACATTCTAAATATATTATTTTTTACAAAATGTTAATTAATATTTTTGTTGAATACTTATTACTTTTCATAATTTATTGTATTTTTTAAATTTAGATTATTAATTACGATTTTTAAGAAAACTATTTTGTATGCTGCCATAGCAGTATTTACATATTCTATTGAGCGAAATTTCTATACTAAAGAACAAATTGTATTCAAAAATATGAAATGGATGTGATGCAGATGAAACCAAAATAAAAAGCCAACATAAGAAGTGAAAGAAATATCGGACGAACGTGTCAAGAGTGTATTGTAACGTTTTTTGCATTTAGTATAATATACCTATCTTACTACTGAAACATGAAGTTGTTTTTTTCTTAATTGCAAGATAATGTGAGAAAAGAGAAGTATAATTGAATTCTTATTTTTTCAACAATAATTCCTAGCCTTTAACATTGTGAACGAATTATAAATTTTTAACAAAAAATTTATATATGTATATATATATATATATATATATATATATATATTTATTTATTTATTACAAAATATTTTATTTATTAATGATACTTTATTTATCACAATAATACAATTGTTAATATTCATTGTGTATTTATATAAATATAAATATTGTATTATGTAATTACTTAAATATCTTTAATAACAAATTTAATCATTTTTATTACAATTAATAATTTTTAATATTATTTATTTCATAAAAAGTAGACTTAAAAGCAAATTAATTTATATTTTTAATTTAAATTTTTAATTATTTAATATTTTATCAAACTGATATAAGTTTTATATTACTACTGAAATTATCAATGTTATTCATTTGATATCCTTAGTAATAATTAGTATATTAGATATCAATTTCTTTTGAATATATTTTAATTAAAATAAGCGAAAATTAATTTATTGAGTAGTCAATGTATTACAAAATAATTCTCTTAATAGCCAAATGTAATAAACAATGAAACTATTAACTATGAAATATGTTTTTAATTACTTTAAAAGCATTAATCACCATATTTTAATGTAATATCAGTTCAATTTTGTCATTCATTTTATAATATTGAAATATTATTGATAACAATTTAATTTATTTGTTTTATTCAGTTATATATATTAACACGTTAGAGTATGAAATTATATTTGTATTTTTAGTAAGTGATTTATAAGAAAATGATGTATTTTTAAACGAAAAGCAAATAATATAGAAAAAATGGATGATACGAATATTACTCGTATGCTTTTATTATAGTTTGAGATCAGAAAATACACAGGTAAGTCAAATAATAAAGCCAAAATGAAAATAGTTATAATGTGATTATTATTATAAAAAAGTCTTAAAATATCAAATTTAAAAAATAGAGCATTACGAATCTATACATATATGTTCATTATTTTATTATATATAATTATTATATATTTTCTATTAAGAAAAAAATTTTTTTAAATAGTAAAACTAAAATTTGTAATTTTATGAGGTAAAAATTTAGAAAATATGTTTATTAAAAAAAAAATATTTTATTAAAATATTAAAATATGTATTAAAATTTATTAAAATTTTATGAATACTAAACATTACAACATTCAAGAATTTTTCGCCAATATTTACATACCAATGAAGTCCAAAGATTTTGAAGTTTATAACAATATAATAGACGTATGAGTGAGTTTCTATTGCTATAAATCTAGAAGTATAAAAATTAAGAAGAAAATACAGAAAACAAAAATTGTTTCATTAATTTCGAATTAAAAATGTATATATTTTTGTATATTCTATCATGTATATTGCGAATATCGCAGACATTGCCATTAAATTGCAAGAATTTTTGTTAATTTTCATTTGTCCGTTTGAACATTGATCTAATAATACATTCCCCTAAAAGCAGTAACATGTAGTATTAACAATAAAACCGTCTTTTCTTCAACATATTTGGATGTTGCAGATCTCTATACTTTAGGTGTGAAGGAGTGAACAAGAGACTAACGCGAGAATTTGAGTACAACGTCTGTACCGATTAATCATTAGATATTACGATGAATACTTGATTCGGTCACTCACTTTGTAATCAATGAGGCAATATATGAAGCTAAAGTTATTTGTATGTTTTAATAAACAGTGTAGTTTATTGACATTGTTTGAGTATTTTATTACGTGTTTTGTAATCTACACCTATTTAACTCTCTTTATACTGATATACATATTAATGAATGAAGTTATTTAAAGTTCTTTACTAGTTGTGTATCAGTTTTTTTTTTTTTTTTATAAATAGTTTGTCATGAAAACTTTATTAAGAATATTTACATAAGTTTAAGTTTTATTGAAAAGAAATTTTTATGCATTTGTACTATTTTGAATTTATTTTATTCTCATATTTATATTCTCTTTTCATTAATAACGTTCGTGTTTCGACGATTGTTTTATTTTGAGAAATTTTGACCTATTTGTTACATTTATTATTAATGATTGTTCATATTTTATCGACTTATCAAAAAGTTTTGATCCACAGTATAAATAATCTTCTTTAATATCATTACAGTATACAGTTTTGCCTACTATGAATCTATTAAGATACGATTTATATTTTAATAAAAAAATTAAATAGCGCGATTTTACTCATGTTTCAACATTTCTTTTCTGATTAAGGGTATGAGAAGTGTATCACATATGGCGTTGAAATAATTCATGAATGGTACGTTAAAAGAGTTTGAAATCTTGCAAAACAATATATGCATAATATAGATGATAAATTTATATAGATCATCACTGTTACTTCATAATTCTTTATATTGGGTAGTATGTAGTAAAATGATATTTTTACGTTGGCGTAAATTCAAGTATTGGAATTATCATTAACAGTCATATCTATTACATTGTAAGTAATCGAGTCATGTATGAGATTATTGCATCTTTCGTAATAGAATAAATATTAATTTTATCTAAAAAAATTATTCTATGTAAATTAATAGAAATTCATTAAAGCATAGTAAATTGTAATAAATATTTCAATTTCAACTAAAAAATACAGTTCAAAAAGAGACACGTGTAAAAGCCATCATAGCGTCATTCGCCATCGTTCGCCTTTTAATTGAATTGCTATAGCATAAACAAATAAGATTATTTAGAATTTTAGTACCAATTCATTTGCATATCGGATGGAGAACATAATCTCGCTTAAATTAGTATTTATACTATCGAAATTTTTTGTTCGAAATCTCAAAACAAACAATTTAATAATAGCATTCAGCAAAATAATTTGAGTTTAAGTGTCGCCAATGCTTTATATCAATAATTAAAGTAAACTCTTCGAATTCGTATTATTCGTGTATATAATTTTACACCACCATAAACTGCATAGCTTAAATTCTCAACATTTTAACAATAGACTCGGTATTCTTTGGTCCTTACTTTACTTCACGTGTAAACGTATGTATATATATATATATATATATATATATCTTGCAATGTTAATTTGCCTGATCGAGGGTTTCACTGTCGTGAATAAAAGATAATTTAAATAAAGAAAATTTCTGACGAATAGTTTTAAAATTTTATACCACTCGATTTAAAATTTATTAACAATATATATTTTTGACAATGATAATAAAGTGTTCAGGGCATTTCTACTCTATAGGTTCTATAGGATATGATTAATTCTTTTTAATAACTCCAGCATCTGTTGGAATGAAAAAGATGTATACTAAAAAGTAAAATTATTCTATATAGATATATAGATCCTATCTTGTCCCCAAAATCATAGACTTAGATCTCGATCTTCTCAGATGATGCAATTCTCATTTAAATACTTTTTTTTATCACTTTCCAACTGAATCTGAGATTTCTTTTTCTCAGAATTCATTCTTAGAAATTGACCTTAACTCTTATTGATACGGCTGATACTATATATAGTTGGCTCTTAATTATTTAAGACATTGATTTTTTTATTAATTTTATTAGAATGGAAGAGATATTTATTTTCATTTCTCAATTAAGTAAACTTCAATAGTTTGTCAATTTGTGATATTGATAATAATTATGGAAATTCGTTCTTTATACTTAAAAGATATGTAGCAATTTTCATATTTTTTAATATATATATTATAGATTTTAAGGGAATTTTTTAATACTCAATGAAGAATTGACAATTAAAAATTAATCTGCACCTCATTCGGTGAAATTCTAAAGATCAGCCATGAAGTCCATTAACTTTAATCTCAATCAATTATTATAAAATAATTTTCTTATGTTTGTAGAAATATATTATTTTCTTCCATTTACATTGAATTATATTTTTATAACGCTTGAACTTGGCGCTCTATCTACACTCTATCTGTACAGGTACTTTTGGAGAGATTGCGGCTTTCGTCTGAACAGCGAGACTTCCTTCACGCTAATTTGCAATGATTATATTGGCCGGCTTAGAATCTATCCCACACATAAAATTTTGGCATGCGTTGTAAGTCGTTCATTCCTGCGCAAAATTATATACACTGTATATATATACATGCGTATGATAAATGTGTGCGCGTATAATAAATGTATATATATTATACTATATGTATTCATATACATTCATTTCATATCCATTTTTTACGCTCACATTCGTCACATAATATTCATCGTTCGCAGCTACGTACACTTTTACCATACATAAATAGTATATGAAACTATATATATATAGTGTATGACGAATACTATGAACTTTAAACAATGCTTTTATTCAGCGTTGATACATGAATAACATCAAATCGGTACCAAGATGTTGACTTGTTATCCTAGATTCAATATATCACTAAATTATACTGGTATCTAAAAAAGTAAAAGTAGGAATCGATTGAAAGAATTTGCTGCTTAATTAAATAGCGTCTTAGTTGCAATAATAACTAACATGATATATGAAAATATAGATAATTGGAAACAAGAATCTTTATATTATACATTCAAATCTTTAACCAATGTAAAAGTTGCCTATTACTTTAATTATGAAAATTATTTCCAAAGATTATTCCAAAGATTATACGAGTTGCTGTGTTCTGTATTTAAAAAATTGAAAGTGGCGATTACCGAATGTTAAATATTATAGATGGCAGAATGTTTAGCAAGTTTAATAAAATTTTCATAATTCTTTAAGGAATAATTAAATATACACACTCCTTATGTTTAAAAAAGAATAAATTCTTAAGAGCTTAATTGATTTCATTTATACTATATATGATACTATAATTAACATTTTTTTTAATTTTATTAGATGCAATTACTTATTTCTTATTCCAAATTTTTATTATACTCGTATACTTTACTTATTTGGACGATGCCTTATATAGTTTTATTTAAATCGATGTGCTTTTACATATATAATATTGTTACTAATAATATTATTACTAAATATCCATAATTTATAAACGTTACATATTGATTATGTAAATGAAGAGTATTATTAAATATAGTTTTTTCAAAAAAATTATTGGTTTTCTTGTCTTGATTATTTAATATATTCACGTATTTTATTCTACAAAAATATATTCTTAAATTCTTAATTATTGTTTTGATACATAATTCTCAGATAAAATGTTTTTTTGAAAATACTTCCATTGAATTATTAAATTTTTAGAAAAAGTTTAAGTTGTTTTTGAAACCAAGACTATATTACCTTTTTATTTTATTTGTATTTTATAAAAATACCAAATAACTATTTCCTCATCAATAAACTACATATAAAATAAAATTACAAAATATAGCTATATTAATTTTAAAATAAATATTTAAATTCATAAAATTCTAATTTATTCTAATTTTTATATTGCATACTTTTTAGCTAAATCATGTATTTGCAGAGATCCTGCAGATTCGTGCATATTCTTGGACTAAATTGATTTGCAGATGTGAAAAAATGCGTCAGACAAATTGCTTAATGATAAAAAGATTTATAAGAACATCAAAGGATATAGAATGACAATGTATAAGGATACCGAATGACGTATACACTCAAAAAGAATATATTCAATGACGCTTCAATGATATTTTTAAAAGAAGAAATGAAAGTGTGAAAGGATCGAAAGAATGAAATAAGGTATATTCCAGAAGGACAATTAAGACCGATAATAGTTAGAAACAAATTTAATATATTATCTGACGTCAGTTATAAAATCATGCATGTACTATCTCTTCTCTTATTTTAATCGAAATAGCATTTTCGGCTTATAAATTACACATACGTTAGTCCTTATAAACTTGAAACGCTTATTCCTCCTTATTTCGTACAATATTAACAATTATAAAAGCATACATTCGTGTCTTATACTTAACCTTTTCATTTATTATTCTCTCACATACAATCCGCGTGTACATATTTCGTACACATATATATTCAAGTATTATATTAAACATTTAATTCAAAATTGTTTAAAATAGTAAATATTTTCTGTGCAAACTTTTGTACTTTTATTTTACAGTATTAGTTTTATAATGTATACTATATTTCTTTTACCATGTTTTATGATAGAATATTTTGTTTAATATTTCAATAAAAAATGCTTTTTTTCCATCCAACATATATAAAATGAAAATTAATATGATGAATTTTATAAATAATAATAATATGCTAATAAAAATATATGAATGAGATAAAAATGTGTATACACATGTTATAAATTGTTAAATCTCAAGAAAAATAGGTCGCTTCAATCTGCTTTCATTATAACGATTCTTAGAGATAAACGAAACAATTCTTAATATATATATATATATATGTTTTAAATTCTTTTTAGTTTATTAGTTATATATATATTAACATATCATATATGTTTTAAAATGAACTTAAATACAATTGATCGGCAATTGTAACGATATATATATATATATATATATATATATATATATATATATAGCGAGAGAGAGAGAGAGAGAGAGAGAGAGTGTGAGAGGGGGGGAGAACGTAAAAAATTAATGATTATAAAATTTAAATTTCATTATATTCAAATACTGAAGTTATCGAGCTTTAAATTTGAAATAACGAATTGCAGTTATTATATTTAAAAACCATACTCGACACCTATTTTTTATAAAATTCAATAGACGACTTAGTTTGAATTCGATTTTTACCTGAGCTTTCAGCTATTAATCGTATTATGTAAAATTCCCCTCAGTTCGCGCACTTCACTTTAAATGCGTCTGATCTTGGGCATCATTGAAGCATAGACTATATCATAAAACGCGCGTATTTTTGCATTAACATGAAAGCGAAAGCCGCGAGTGAATTTAGAAGAGTAGAACGCTAACTACAACGAAGACGAGGATAAAGCATTCGAAGAAAAATAGGCTGCAGAGAGGACAACCGAATAAGTTACTAAAGGAAGGTAGCAATGGAAGGGCGCGCGATGAGATCACATCCCGCGAAGAACCAGTCATAATCCACGGCTCCGGCGGACGTTTGCTCTCCACTTCGGCCAGTTGCTTTCGATCCAGCGAGTCTACTGTTTCGCATATTCAGGCGCTCGTTGCCAATCGTTCGTATCCCTGAATTAGGACTTGTCCCTCGAGGTACGTGCATCTTTCAACCACAAACCAGTTCCTTAGCTTCGTTCGTCCAGATAGCACTATGAATGTGAAGATGAAGTTGGATAATAGAACTCTGAACTCATTGACACTCATTCACTTTACCTAAATATATAATTTTGCTTTACTTCGCGATTTATTTAGTCTCATTTTTTGAAATTTCAACTCTGAATGTTCAAACATTTTACCATTAATCGCTTTATCTTGTTGCTTCTTATGTTTTTCTAGATAATAAAATAATGCAAATAATATAAGAATAAAATACAATATAAGAACATTATTTTGTCATCTTATTAATGTATACCGGTTTATTTACTATTTTAATTAGCTTACTGTTACTATTCTTTTATTAAATGTCTCATACTCCCAAACGTAATTTTATTTTTAAAATGCTAATTCAAAGGCTTGTATTGTAGATATAAGTAAACATTAAAAAGAGCTTTATTTACAATTTTGAGAAACTTTATATCTAACTAATATATTGCAATAATATATATATATGCAGTTTTTAAAAATGATTTTAGTTTAATTAGTAATTGATTAAATTTGTTAGTGAATCTCATTGTTAATATATCTAGAATTGTAAATATTCTTAAATTTTTTTGCAACTTAAGGATCATCGAATTATGGAACAATAATCTAAGGAAATGAAAAATAAAATTTTTTATCAGAAATATTTAAACATAATAAATGTAATAAATAAACATTAGATTTCAAAACAATAATTAATTTTACCAACATTTAACCAAATTTATTACTTTTTACGTAAATACATTTTCAAGCTTTGAAAGCTGAACCTTGTTGTTTTTTAAATATCTACTTTGATTGTGCAAACGTTTATTCTTATAAGTTACTACTTACGCTGCTTTACAAATAATATTATTTGTAGGCAGTTTATTTAGTTAGTTATTTAGTTAATTTATGTTCATAATTTCTTCAATTAATAATTTGTTTTAACGTAACGATCTTTAGTAAAAACAATACTCTTTCTATATTTATCTAACTTTTTTATAGACAAGCTATTATATTTTTCCTAAACATGTAAAATAGTTTATATAATGGATACTTTTGTTCGCACAAAATATATTTTATACACGAATAATTATTAACTATATAATAATAATTAGAAAAAGATTTGAAATATCAAGATTTCTTATTTTAAAACACAGAATCATTTATGAATAATTTTTAAAGATCATTTTAGGATATTCATTCACTCTAAAAATAAAAATATACATCCAAGTGTTGAAATAATTTTAGATTATACAATAATTCTAGTGTATATAATATAATTACTATTAAAAATGGTACATATTATTTCACTTATTTTTGCTTTATTTATTAAAATTATGAATTAAAGATTAATCGATATATTTTTTAACAAGATAGCTTTAGAAATACTTATCACTAAAACAGAATTTTTAGTAATAAATATTAGAAATAACAAAAGATTCATTTTCTCATTTTATATTATTTAAACGGTTTTTCCGTATTCGAAATTCAGCAAATGTAATAAAGAAAAATATTTACGAACAATTCTTTCTAAATTTAAAATGAATATTTTACATGCTAATATTAGAATGAATTACAAAATGATACTTGATTATTAAAATAGTACTTGGTTTTTATAACAAATGATTAAGTTGTTAGTTTTATTTATTCGATTACTCCATAATAATTAATATTAATAATTGAATGGAAGATTGTAGGTTATTACGATTTAATTTTAAGATTAATATTTATTTAATTAGTCATTAAATTCAAATATAAATGTAATTACAGAATGTTAAATTATTGATTTCAATGTATAAATATAAATATGATTTATAAATAAGATATAAATACAGTTTCTTTATATATATCAATTATTAAATGATAAATATATTTTCAGACATAAAGCTTCAGAGGTTGATATACCACTGAACTTGATATACTTCAAAAATCAGTATATTAGAAAAAATAATATGTTCATCCGAAGCAGGATTAAAACAATTATGCAATTCTCAATATATTGTATTCGAAATTTCGAATTATTGGTTGAAAATTTTTTTTAAATTATCTCGAAGATAACATCAATTTTATTCAAAACAATTAATTAACATTTATTAATCATTAATTAATATTTAAATACGTTAATATAAGATATTTAGAAATAAATGTATATTATTATAAATTAAATAGTCAAAAAAATTAAATACATCACTATATTACACAGGATAACATTAAAGAGGATATTTTCTGTTATTATTAATGATTAATAATCAATTATTATAAGAATGATTTATGATAAATGTTGTAGATAATAATTGTAAAAAGTAAAATAAACTTTAATGGTTTTATCTTAAATTAAAAAGTTATATTTAATGTTTTACTGTAGATCATGTTGGTCGATATATCAAATAAGATGATATTTATTACTTTTTTTATATAATTTAGTTACACAGAATTTTATGTTGAAAGTTATACTTTTACATAGTACAGTGTATAGCATGTATTTTAAAAAATAAATTTCCAGATTTTTCTTAAAATCTGATCTATTTAAAAAAAGAAATATACATACATAGAAAAAAAACTATATATATTAAATAACAATAATAATTTACGTATTACGTGTGCGTATGCTTATGTATACTTATTGTTTAAATTCATAATGAATAATAAATGTTTAGTATTCATTTATTAATATGATAATATATTGTAAATCAATTTCATGCTTATTTTATATAATTTGATAAATTACAAAGTGATAATTTTTATTGTATCGAGAATAATATTATTAGTAAATCTGTAATCGTATAATTTATTATTTATAAGATAATTTTTTTTTCTATAATTGATAAAAATGTCTGTAATTAGTTTATTAACAAATTAAACCATTTTAAATGTATGAATCTTATGTATGAAATTAGTATGTAAATGCAAACTTTGTTTTCGACACAGAAATAATCTTATTTCCTTTTTCTTAATGTTTTTTATTTTTAATATTAAAAAGTAACAAAAAATTAACGAACATATTTACAGTATAGTTCATAATTTTTAAAAATAATTAGCTAAAAATATATAATTTACAAATAATCGAAGTTTATAATTAATACAAGGTGTATTGAATATATATATATATATATATATAATGTAAATATTTATTTATCTAACGGATTTTAATTCACGTTTATGGTGAGTTTCAAAATAAATTTATGTATTCTTGCAACTGTTTATCATTGCGATTACAAAATCAATTAATAATTATGTTTTGCAAATGGTTTAGATAATATAAAATAAATATTTATATAGTACATTTAAATTAATTGAAAATAATTAATATTTAAGTTAATATTTAAATTAACATTCAATTAGTCATAATTAATATAGAACGGGGCGTATCTTTTACGAAAGTATAGAGTTTCAAAAGTAATAAAATTAGTACTTTGATTAATTTCAACTCTAATATAAAATTGAAACTTTAGTATATATTTTTACATTATTATCGGATTTGAAACGGCCAAGTTTGAGAACATCCTGAAAAAATATCAAAAATTTTTTTTAATGCATATAATTTATTCCAGTATATTAAAGTATATTAAATCAAAGGACATATTTTTTATATTATATGATAACCTCAAGTTTTTTTACAAATAGAATTATTTTTTGCAATTATGCCGTGCAGTTTTTTATAAAAATTTCACGATTAACTTAATATTATTGATGTGATAAAAATGAAGGATCGATTAATGTCAAATCAATAAATAGATTGTTTTAAGCAGTGTACGTAAACATTAAAAGAGAAATTTGTAGGTTGTTCGATAAAAATTTATCAATTTCAAATATTCGTCCTGCAGATGTCATGAAAATGCATCTAATGAAAAATCGCTGGATAATTAAGTTATTAATATATGTTCGGTCAATGCAAGGGTATCAGCACTAAAAAAATCACACGAGTAACAATTACAGCTTAAAAATTGTTAATCAATCAACTGTCGGAGAAAACCCCCTTTGAATGCTTTGGATGATAGTCTCGCAGGAGACTCGAGAAAATTAGGCATTGCTTAACGTCTGTGAAAATACAAAGGCTGTAGTAGACATCGGGGTCAGGCGATACTGCGTTCGATATAAAGACTGGCGAGTGACCGAGCATCGCTTCCCGGCTGCGCTACGACGCTTGCGTGGGATCCGCGTTGGCCCCTTTTCTCCTTAAGCGTAGCGACCATCTTTCCGGCACCATCCTCGCAACTTGCGCAACGCGGCAGCATTTTTGAACTTATCGCCTCCTACTTTTATACGTCTTCCGGGGAATGCAAGCTCGTAAGTTGCTCACATAAAACTATTAAAATCATTGCAAACTCCAATTCCAACGTATTGTAGTGAAAATTTGATTTTTGTTTATAAAGCTTTCGATTCAGATAGATTTTTTTTTACTGTTTCATTACTTGTAAATAGTCTAATTTTTCTTTTATCAGTAATTGTTCTACTTAGTAATAGTAATTTATTTTCTCTTATTATTAAATAATAGTTTACTACTTTTTTTTTTTTTTTTTTTTTTTTTTTTTTTTTAATATTCGAAACAATACATTATTTTCAATTAATTGAGGCGCTTCCGAAGAAACATTAAATAAATCACAAAGAAGATTCTTTAATATATACGTTTACTTTATTAATTAACGAACTTGTTCTATTTACTTCATGAAATTTTATTTTTAACCAAAACTATGGTATTGATTAAATGTTAAATTCTTGTTGATTAAGAAATATTGTAAATATAAGATAATTCTTTTGATAATAATCAAATAAATACGTTCATGTTAATAATAATCATATTTTTCTTACATATATTTTCTTTCAACCTATTAATTGTTTTATAATGCTCAAAACTTTATAAAATTTTTGTAAAAATTATGAATTTTTTAATGTTCTCGCATTTTTTTTTTTCATACTATACTACTTAAACTAATTTACCATTAAAGTGAGTTTAGTATTAAAAAAATTTTTTTTAAGTTATATGTATTTAGAAAACTTTATTTTATTTAAAATTAAATTTGTAGAATATTTGATAATAGCAAAAAAATACAAACTATTGTTTTAATTTCATTTAAACAAGGTTAAAAATGGGATTATTAAAATCCTATAACTATTTGTAGGAATTTTATTTTAGTAATATCAATGTTAATGTTAGATCAGTAAATACTATACGCAGAAAAAATAATTTAGAAAAATTTAATACTAAAGTATATTACATTCTAAATATATGATGTAATTCGTAGTGTTAACAACATAGAATACATCTAAAAGAAATTAGTTTAGAATATATTATTACATATTAAAGTGCTGATGGAATCTTGTACTGACTGAATCAAATTCGACTTGAGTATTAAACTTAATTCTAATTTATGTAAAATCCTAATCTGTTTATAATTTTTCAAATCTTCTTAACAATTAACCTATAAAAACAGGCATTACCTACAAAATAGAGTAATTTTATTATTATATAATAAAATTCAGTAAATTAATAAATAAAATAAAGTAAATGAGAAAGTCAAAATAGCGTAAATTTATTATTTTTATTCTTTAATCCAATAATACCACACCGATCGGCGTATGGCAATAAAACAATTATACATTTACTATATCATTGTGCATTTCACGCTTTGATATTATAGTTGAACTGTTAAACGACTTCCTTGAAATGGTTATTAAGTTTATTTATGAACTTCCAGTTATAATTCTTGATAATATCTATGAAAAATAAGTTGCTATTATTTATATCAATAATTTTATTAGTTTCCATTATTATTAATAATGAAAAAATATTTACACATGTAATATTAAATCTCCACTTTTTTGTAAATATCTCGTAAGAAAAATTATGTTATAATAATGAGATTATAGAATGCAGTGTGATGAATGTAAAAAATTAACTTTCTTAAAGAAATTGAATGTCAATTCGTATAAAAATAATTTTTAAATTTCTTTGATTTTACATTAAACATATCAATAATTTCAATAAAATTGAATATTATTATTACATTTTATTATTGCGTATAAATATAGTATTGAAATTTGAATTATATTGCAAGTTTATTAAGAAAACATAAACAAATATTCAATGTCAATCATATTCGTATTTCCGTAATTTTTTCGACATTTATATTCAAATGAAAATTTTGTCATATAATTTTCAATAAACGATTAATGTATTGAGAATTTAGGTACCTAAATTAGCAATGCATTTCTGTCGATGACCTTATAAATGAGCGTTCAGAAATACTCTTTGCTTTACACTATAAATGCATGATTATGTTTGTTATTCAAACATTTTTCAAACAACCGGATTTTTGAACTTAAATCAATTGATTTAGAATAGAAGTTTCATTATTTAAGAAAATTAGCACCATTTGACTAAATGTATTTAAAAGCTAAGCGTTTACATCATATTAAATAAAAATTTTATTAATAATGATTATTTATTTCGACAAAATATTTCAAACTATAAAGAAAAATAAATGAATCTTGTATTTGAAATTTTTCATGATTCGTGAATCGATTTAAGTAATTAAATCTTGATTATTATAAATTAATCAGAATAATAATATTTCAATATGGAATTTACCTGATTTACTGAATAAAATTTTAAAGTTTAAAAATTAAAAATTCATAATGTTATCATAATGTAAATCAATTATATTTAAATAATTGAAAAATTCATATAATAATAAAAGTCGCATACATACAATTTTAAATTATATTACATATATTGAAATGTAATAAATATATACAATTAAAATATTTTAATTCTATAAGCATATATTAATGATAAATAAGAACATATATGAAATAAAATTAAATTGATATCAAAATTTAATTCTTCCTAACATTACCAGATTAAGGTTAATATATTGATATAAATTGTTTATATTAATAGATCATACAATTACTTTCGTTAGATTGTAGGCATATTTTTCAAAGTTTGAATAGATTAATTTTTTTAATTACATACCAACAAACTTTTGCATTTAAAACAAAATGTTTAAATGTCCCATTAAAACAGTTACTTGAAATTTTATAACTTATAAAATGACATAAATATTATCTCACAAACATATACTTCTTTTATTTCAGATAGAAATGGGGACGAATCGGTTGCTCATTGGACTACTATTAGTGATGTTTTTACTGACTAGTGCTGCATTTGCTGAGGTATCAAATGTTATAGTTGACTTTACAAATGCAATCTAGAAAATTAAAAAATTTTAGACTCTTATTACCATTTTTAGTTAATATTACACAAATTAATTAATAAATGCACATGCATAATATAAATTATTTTTTAAATTCATAAGATTTTAAAAAATGTTTCTTCAAATATGTAGTGGAAATTACATTATTATATTACAGTTTGTGTCGATGTTAGTCATGTGCTATAGGAGAATTTATATTTTCTTTGCTATTTATTACAAATTTGTTAAATGTTATTAATGTGTTATGAAATGAATGTGTTAATATAATTAGCCATAATAATGAATTTTTAATTGATTAGAATTATAGAAATATTTTGTTTGTAAAGTCCGACTAAAATTAATAACTTCGAAATGTAAGGTCAGAAGTTTTTATATTAATTGAACTTTAGCTAAGAATTTTCGTTGGAATATTTAAAAATAAATTTGTAAACTAAATTTAATAGAAAGATATTTTTTAGCAGTAAAAGTTTTTCATTTCATCTACCAATATAATAACAAGTATTTTGTACACATTAATTGCAAAAAATAAGTTAATTGAATACGAACAAAATAGTAAAACTCTACTTTTACAATATTAAAATGAATATATTTTTTAGAAAATTATGTTTCTTGTATTTCGTAAATAATGTTATTAAATATTTTGCTTAACATTTATTAAAAGAAAATAACAAAAATATATTTCTACAAAAACTTTATGGAGTTATAATATTAAAAAGTTGTTGTATAGTACAATTCAATTTAATTTTAGTTTAATTTTAATGCAAGCATTTTTATTTACTTTCTCTTTTGATAAAGTGAATAAGCAATCAATTTTATTAAAATAATAGAAAAGAAGAAAATATCGGCGTAGGACAACAACAACCGAAGCATCTCCCCAAGATGATGTTATGAATATACTTGAAGCAGACGAAGTTGCTGAAGAAGCTGCAGCTTCTCGAGAACATGTGCATGAAGGTGATTTATATGGAAAAAGTACATATTTGGCTCAAGGCGATGCATGCCAGCGTAAACATTGTGGACCTGGTCGTGTTTGCCAGGTAATGAAAGATTTTTGCGTTATTACTATACATTTTTTTAATACTTATTTGATTATTGAAATTATATTTCTTGATAATAAACTAAAATATTTACTCACATATTATAAGAAAAATATATTAATAAATAAATATTAATATCAATTAATTTTAATACACATAAGATTAATATATAAAATAACATAATATAATGTAACCTGTCGATTATAGATTATATTTTTACTTATATAATACTTAAAAATTAAAAATTATATAATACTCAAAAATACAAACTTATAATATAATATAGTGAAATCAAATAATTTTAGTCTTTTACATTTGTTTATTTTTTCTGGTGCCATTTTTATTTATCATCACAAATATATGTTCTGAGAATAAATAATTCGGTGTTAGAGCGTGGAAATAAAATTATACAATTCCGTAAGAGATAAGATTTTATTCGATAAGAAAAACAATTATAATATTTAATAAAAACAAACAGAACAATTGGAATGAATAAACAAATAAACGTAAAACGAATGTCTTCTTTTCAATCTATTGGATAAATTGAGGAGAGGATACACGCATTTAACGCAAAAAACTATTAATGGTCTAAATAAGATAATAATCTTATTTATTGTTTCTCTTCCATTAAGTAACAATATCTTCACAACTACATTTAATTTCTTCATTTATGATAAGCATACAAAATTTTAAACATAGGTAACAGAGTATTGTATTTCTTATCGTTTAATTTCCTATGGAATAATCAGTCAAGATACTATAACAATATTATTTTAAATTGCTGTTAAACGCATAATTCCTGGTATTATTGAAGTAGTTTAAAATAACTGACCTATATATACACAATTCTCGCATATAAAACTCCTTTTTCTGAACTTTTATAAATATAATAGAACATATCAGAAGATATATATCATTAGTCTTATTAATTAAAACTTGTACCTCCAAAGCTTAAAAAACAATAATTGAAATTAGTTTTTTATATTATTTAAATTAATAGTTTAATCAAATAATTTTGAAAGCTTATGTATTATAATATATAAATTAAATTTAATAAGTAAACGTTTTATTTAATATATTATTTTATTATATTGTTTATTATTATAACGTATCACGGCTAGTTAATGGAAAATCAAGAGCCTACGTGTGCATGCATTACAAAATGCGATGAAGAAAGCGATCCACGAAGACGAGTTTGTACGAATTATAATGAAACTTTTGGAAGTGACTGCGAAGTTTATCAAGCTAGATGCTTCTGCGATACTAATGATCCGCGTTGCAGAGGTCCTGACTACCAACACGTTCATATTGAATATTATGGAGAGTGCAAACAAATGCCTGTAAGTTACAAATATATTTTCTTCAATTATTGATAAAATCACTACACCTTTAAAGTTTGCTTTAGTATGATTAAAACAAAATTTTATCCAAAATAGAAAAATGAAAAGCATATTATAAATTCATGAAATTCTTTTCCTTATTTTCCTTGTTATTTATTTTATTATTTGATTTAAATTAAAACTATGGTAATTATTTAGAATACTGTAATTTATTCAAATAAAATTTAGAAATTAATCGAATTTTAGAACTCACTTTCACTAATTAGAATATAATACAGTAACGCAACTAGAATTAGTCTTATCTAATTATAATGCTTATGAATTGATAATTCATTGATAATTATTATTATTAGTCTTATTAATAAACTTGCTCTTTATCTAATTCATGCACTAATTAATTAGTTTTATTTAGTGTATAATTATAGTGAATAATTAGTTTAATTTCTAGATAACCTTTTAACTTATTCATTACAATTCTCTTTATGCGTTTTATTATACATCCATTGTTCAAAGTAGTTTTATTAATTTTATTATTCTTACAATATATATTAAAATAGGCAAATATTACATTATCATTTTTCCTAATTTATTTATATAATGTTATGCAAATAATAAACAAATATAACAATTACAAATTTAATTGTTTTTCCATTTTTATGTATATAACAAAAATTGGTACATCGATTAAATATATTAATAATAACATTTTCGTTTAAATACTTCTATGGTTCTAATATTTATATAAATTTATATTTTTCGATCATTAATTTATTTGTTAATAATGCCAGCTAATATTGCTACTTAAAATAATATCTGTAAATATAGATATTGCTTATATCAATCATTGTAAATTAATTTTTTTTTTTATTCAAATTTATCGATTATGTTACAGTTAAGACCATAATATTTTAATATTTACTAGTTATTATAGGTGGTTTGTATAAAATTAATGAATAATTAATTTTCTCTTTTCATGTTCGATAAAGTTTGACTGGTGCATCTTTTATGTCTAAATAAATAATAACGATAATCTAATCTAAATCGCAAACTAAGTTATTAGATATTAATTATTAATTCTTAATCAACCAAACGGGTGAGAATAATAATAATACTTTAAAAATATAAATTTCTGAGAATAATTTATTAATAACATTTTTTATATTCAATTTCAAATTTTATTATGTTGATTACTATTTTTGATCTGCCGGATAAAGTAAAGAATAAAAGATTTTCTATGTATTTTCTATGTTTATTTCTGTTACATAAACGTTATAATATTGTACAGTTTGAATAATTTTATAAGAAATATTTTATTAAATATTTTAAAATGTCATATTTAATATAAATTGCAAATTATATTATTAATTTTTATATATTAAATGTAATTAAATAAAAAGTTGAAAATAATTGATATATAGGAAAACAATTCCTTCTTTGAATTAGAATGTTTTTAAAATAATAAGAGATGTAATAGTTAAAAAATTCATTTTATTAAATATACGATGTGTGAGCAATCAAGAAAATTAAATTATTAATATAGGAGAGTTTTCGAAATTTCAATTTCCCCGAAATTCAACGTACACACAATAAATCAACTTTATTTTATTGTACTTAATTTCCGCAATTATGTCGAGAATATTAATTCAATCTTTTATTTATTAAGAAAAAAAAGAAACTTTTAATAATATTTGAAAAAAATTAAATAATAAATCTTTATTACAAGTATTTATTAAATGAAAAAGTCAAGAAAACTATTATATTATACATATTTATTAAGATTAATGTAATTCGATAATATTGCAGTGGCCTAATCAATTCGACATAATATTATAATTATGTAATTGATTAATTCAATAAAGAAGAAAAAAAACAATTATTAATAAAAACTTTTTAATCGAAACAATAACTTTTCAAAGCACTTTTTGTGAATACGTGTAAGTGAAATAATTTTTTCTTATATAATTTTTTAATAAATCTTTCAAAGATATTTCCTTTTCACGCACATAAATTGAATTAGAATTATTTATAGCCATCGTGTTTACTCATTTCTTACCATATTTAATATTTATCAGCCTTGCAAGGAAGAGGATAAAATCGACTTTCCACGTCGCATGCGCGACTGGCTCTTTAACATAATGCGCGACTTGGCCGACCGTCAAGAACTGCCACAGCATTATGTGAAAATGCAACGTGAGGCCGAATCAAACCATACTTTGCGCTGGTCCAATGCAGCAATCTGGAAGTGGTGTGACTTGGATGGGTATCCTCACGACCGCGCCGTGTCTCGACACGAACTCTTTCCGATTCGTGCACCGCTCATGGCTCTCGAGCACTGCATCGCACCCTTTCTTGACTCTTGTGATGCCGATAATGACCACAATATCACTCTCAAGGAATGGGGAAAATGTTTGGAGCTGGAAGAGGTCTCTTTACTATTTATCTTTACACATTATGTTTGTTTTGTGTAACAATTTACCCTATCATTCCAACAATTGCAAAAGTTTGATACATTTGTACGATTCATTTTTTTGCTAACAATGATAAAAAGGTGACTTAAAATTATAGGTACAAATGATACGTATAATACATATAATGATAAATGATACATACTATTTGAAGAAAATATATAATATTAAATGAGATCAAATTATATTTTAATATTGGGAATAAGATTTTTTTTGTTTTTGTTTTACAAGGATAATATCAACTATCATTATCTTTTATACAAATTCAAGTAAATATACCAATTATTCGAAGAATACAATTAAATTTTTTTTATTCTGATAAAAACATTATTTTATGTATCTATTTTTAAAAATTTTATTGATTAAATATTTTTTAAGAGCAAATATATGATGTGAATTCGTAAGGAAATTTCTATATTAAAGTTATAATGAATTTTCAAATAATAATAATGACTAAAATGTGTTAGATTTTTATTATATTGCAATTTTCGAGTTCAAAATATTAAAAATCGATTAATTATATAATTGATATTATTTTGATCGTATATTTAATTTTCAAATTATATCGTTATAATTATAATTACTTTTTTTTTTAATTTTAATAATATAAAAATTTCATGTAATGTAATCCATGGTTTTTTTTTGTTAAATTTTCATGTTTCTGAAAAAAATAATTCATGTTTTAAATAAGGAGTCATCATTTATATTCATTTTTATATTATTATATTCACATAAATCACCTATGTTTTCAATTTAATTTACAGGATGATCTAGAAGAACAATGCGACCATTTAGCAGAAGCTACTGGCGAATACAACGAAAAAGAAGAAAATTAAATCATTAACGAAAATAATTATTCCAGGAAAGAATAAATTATCCATTTTTAATCATATATTGTTTTGAAAAATTTTATAAATAAAATTAAGTATGAACGATCTTCAAACTGAATTACGACAATTATATTATAAATAACTAAAGCTATATTCAAATTACGTTATATAAGATTAATTTTAGATTAAGACGCACAACCAAATATGTTTTAATACTCTTATTTATTTAGAACCTTACTTATTTTTATAAATATATATATATATATATACAATTTCCTATGTTAAAGATTATAATTTCTATAAATACGTACATTGATACTTTATTATAATAGTTTTTTAACTTTATAATAAATAAATCTTTAAAAAATAAATTTTATACTGTTGTAAAAAAAAATTTATTAACATTTATAAAAAAATATATATATAAAGTTATGTATTATTTTAATTAAATAAAATTTTATGGTTTATTATTGAGGTGTATACTTTATTAACATTTATTTATTATAAAGTGATACAAGTATTATAATAAACAAATGTTTAAAAATAATTTTGTATTGAAGATTGAAAGGTAATTAATTTTTGTATCATCAATAATGTAACATAAAATTTTATTTAATTAAAAAATATTTAACTATATATAAGTATATATTGCTAATTAAATGTGTTTTCCTAATTATTAAACCATTAACTTTGTTAAGAATGCATAATTTTGGCATTCAAACAATAAATAATGAATTGACATGGTTACACTTAGATGTTGTCGACACAACTGTGTATTAATTGTCGCCACAGGATCGTTATAATTTCTGACAAGGAATATTCATATTTACTTGGAAATATACACTATCTAATATAACTGAAAAACATTAAAAGATTAATCATGGACTAAGTAGTCATGAACATGAACAAATGATATTCAATCAATATCGCAATTATACAAACATTATACATGAAACAAATTTATATTGGATAATTAAATGACAACTAAATGACATCTAATAAATTTTAACGGATAATAAAGTTGAATCGTAGCTATATGAGAACCCGCGGTTGAAGAAACAAGGTGTGTACTTTTTGCAACAGCAAGAAATTCATTACAATGAATATTGTGTTAACAAAGTATCAGACTCTAGTTTTTATCTAATTCGTTTATTTAATTCGGTATAAAATCAGATAAAAATAGATAAAGAAATTATTTCATACATAAAAACATTATTAACGTACATTATCATATATTTTAATGAGATTATTTATATAATTAAGACTCAAAATAATTTAAATAAGTTTATTTAATCACTTAACCGAAATTTTTGCTTCATTTGGGATTGCATGTATACATATAGTAAACTTATTTTGATAAAATAGACTTTCATTTGTCTATTTATTGATATATTAATTGATATTATTTATAGAATATAGATTTCTAAATTAGCATTATGTTTTATTATTAATTTATTCCTAAGTAAATACAATAATAATTAGCATTACTAATTTTATAATTGAGTTTCGTAATGTTTATAGACTTATTATAGAATAAACTTTATAAATATTAAGAAATCATCTAACACACTTGTATTTTTCGAATCGTATTTATTTAATACATTGTGTGCGTTTTTAAAGACAAAGAGTGGAAAACATCGAGGTATCTATCTATTTAAGTTTTTTGTAAAGTCGAGATCATTTTATCGTTGTATTCTTAAATAATTTCATTGAAGAAAAATACATATTGACGATCACTTATAATTTCTTGTATTTTCTTTAAATATTTTTTAAATGTAACTGTAATTCTTAAAGTTAGCCACTCTGTCAATAATAGTCATATTAGATATTTTGATAGTATTATGACTTTAAGTTTCTATTAAATCAGATCTTTCAATTGTTACGTCAATATTGGTTTACATTTAATATTATCATTCTTATACTCATCATGGTATGATGAGATAATTGATTATAAATTCTTTTCTGGAATACAATTTAATAAGCATACAAAATACAATTGTAGTATTCAGTTTTTCTGGCAAAATCTTTATATTTCTTGATATATATATATATATTTTTTTTTTTAAATAAAGGATAATCAATTTTGCAAATTTATTATGTTAGCATAATATCTAATTAATATATATTCCTCCTTGAGGCTAAAAGAAATTATTCATTAGCTTTAAAATTATAAAATTATACTAATAGGAAAACAATATTCTTATTCTATAATTTAACTATAACCCGTTGATCAATTTTTTAAATATAATATTTCATACTAATTTAATTATATTAATTTGAAATGTATATGTCATAGTATTCATTAATAATGATTTAGTTGAAAATATTGTAGTTGATTTTGTGCAATGGGATATAGGCAAAATATTATTTATTTTATCATTTATAATCATTATATAGTTTGTTGGTATTAACAAAAAATAAGGTAACATAAAATTTAAAACTTGTTCAATGAATAGTAAGCAAGTGGACTTCTTCGCTTCTATTTAATGTAATTACAAAAAATGATTTGAATTTTACATTTATTTATACACAATTAATTTTATATTTAATTTTCACAAATATATATATATATATATTATATATATATATATTATATATATATATATATATAATGTATAATATGAAAAAATATATTCCTTCTTAATTCCAAATTGCTTTTTTAAACTAATTATACTTAAAATAATTTAAATAGCTCAATTTATTAAAATAAAGGAAAACAAGCTATAGTTTTAATAATTCACTAGAGGCTCAAACAATTACGATTTAACTTAAATAATTTTTAAAATTCCAATTTTATTGCTGATAATTCTTACGTTAAACAATTTCAGAATGATTATTATACTACTATAACTTCGATTCATTTAGTAATAGCGATAATTTATTACTCATTAAAATTTTCATGTATGTCTATTAATAATTTGTGGACAAATAGACTGTTTTATTAATTTACTGATTAAAGAAGTAAATTCATTCATATTAATTTATTTTTTAAATCTATTATTATGGACCAATTTAGTTGCTTCTATATATTTTTAGACTTTTTCAAATGTTGCCTAATTTTAGAGAATCTTTAGTGATAATTTATGTGATTTTTTATTTTCTTTATATAAATCAGAATTTTTTAATAATAAAATTTTCTCTATTAAAATCTTTAACATATTTTTAGATTAATAAAGAATAATAATTAATAAATTTTTAGATTAATATAACTCATTAATTGTAATCGAATAATATCTTGAGGACCAATGTGATCGTAAAATAAACTGTAGTAAATAAAGTTTAATGTGTTTCTGTCTTTAATTTTGAAATTTAAGTTTCTTATATGTTTCTATAATTTTTTTGAAATTTAAATAAAATATAAGAATATTATTAGTATCAAAAATTAATATAAAAAGTTAAAAATAGTTTTTTTTTCTTTGTCGTGCATATCCAGTAGCCCCTATACATAAAATGTTTACTGCATTAGCATATTGCTTTCTTACAAAAAGGGAGAACTTAACTTACCGTGCTATCAATAGCTACTAAATTGAAAAATTCAATTTTATACTGGACAATACAATTTAAAAAGAATTAAATTTTTGTTATAATTTTTTAAAGAATTTATTAATGAATTTTTAATATTCTTGAAATTTAAAACTTTGTGTAGTTTTTCCATTTAATTACGTTTATTTCTTATTATGTAGGTTAACATTTTGTATGTATAACCTCGGATTAAAGAAAAAACGCGATTAAATCTGATTGTACATATTTTATGTACTTGTTTAATAAATGAATTACTTCTTTCCTTGGAAATTTTTTATTTTAAATTCTGAAAATATTTAATCTTTTAAATATTTGTCTTATTTTTTGCATCAAATTTTTCATCAAATAAACATTTACATATCATTACTTAATTTTCCATATTTTTAATATATATTGAAAGATTTTATTAAATAAATAAATGAAATAAATACACTCAATAATGAAAAAGAAAAATATAAAATACACAATACATAAGTCTAATATCTAATGTGTAACAGAAAGGAATTAAAAGATCAAATATAAAATTAAGAAATAATTTTTTTGTTTATAATTCTAAGCGTTATTATGTTTATTGGACCGCAATTTATACGTGTAATGTATTTAATTCATTAACTATTTTTAGTTGTAAAACTGCTAATAGTATATATAAAATGATCTAAACATATATTTTTATCTTAATTTAACAACAATAAAAGAATCTCTGTGAATATGTATGATTTTATTTAAGTACATTTAAAATTTTCGTTTTATTTGACTCTTGTATTATATTTATGAGAAATTAAAAAAAAAATTATAGTATTTATTGTAATATTATTCATTGAAAAAGTATAGTAACAAAATAAATGAGTATTTATATAATAGTGTATGTCATAACAGTCTTTTGTTATTTCTACGTAGTATCTAGAAAAATGAAAACTGGCCAATGTTTATTTTAGTATATTCATAATTTATTAACACCACCGATAGTTAAAATATTTACTAAAAATTTTTTTAGTTATAATAATTATATTTTTTTGTAAATAAAAGTATAGTTAGTTATAAATAGCCTTACAGTGTAAAAATCTGGATCGCCGCGTTTGAAATATTTATATTATATAATGTATTTCTTAAATATTTATTGTCCAACAGTAATAATTAAGAGTAATCATTACTAGTAAGAAGTAATAATAATACATTAAACTAGCAATAGTATCAATTATCAAATCACTTTTTATAAAAATTAATTAATAGTCGTGTAAGAATAACGACATTATTTCTTGTTAATTTTTTATTTTTTAATAATTTTGAATAATTTAAAATCATCGCTTATATTTAAATGAATTGAAATTGAAATTGAAATGAATGCACAAACAAAATCAAAAGTATTCGAGTATAATCTTTTTTAACATCGAAGAATTGATAATACTAAGCTTATGAAATTTGTTTTTCGATTTATTTATTATATATGTTATAATTGTATATTTACTTTATGTATTTAATTTATTGTAGTGGAAAAGAATTATTGTACCTTCTATTTATTTTAAGAAGCGAATTTCTATTCATATATTATAATTATTGAAGTTCAAGCCAAGCGTGATATAAATTTTGAATATTTCATTTCAAATGATTAGAAACATAAATATATTTTTTCATTATATATATATATATATATATATATATATATATATATATATATATATATATATATATATAATTTACTTTAAAAGATAAAGGCTATATCTATCGTCAATCAAATTTAGGATGATTGAATTTTCTTACTGACTTTGTGCATCTAACCTTTTTTACTTAATATTTCAGTGCTGCAGTATATAGTGTGGAATATTTGTATACATTGGAGGATTATCATAAGCATATGAATAATAAAATCATTTAATTGTTCAATAATGTTGTTATAAATTAAAAAATACAAAATATTTTATTTAAAGAATTAATTAATAGAGAATTAAAGACAAATTAGTTATTTATTTATTTGTTTGCCTTTTTTCGACGTTAAAAGTCTGAAAAACTTTCATTTTTGCCTAACTATACAAAGTCAATAAATTTAAAAAGAATATATATGCATATATTTGGAAAGAAATTTTAAGATTAATAAGCATTTATAAATAAATACTCTTGTTAAATAACAAAATAAAACATAAATCATCATTTCATAAAACTCATTTGCATATAGGAAATTATAAAAAATTTTGTTTCTGTTACTTTATGTATTTATTTTTTTTTAGTAAATCTTTAAGTTTAGAAAATAATATAAAAACAGGATGGTAGCTAATTTTGAAAGTATCAAGTGATTTGGAGTAAGCGATTAGCTAATTCTTAAGAATTTTGAAATATAAAATGGAAAACGAGTTAAATGAATCTTTTTTTTTTCAACAACTTAATAAATGCGTTTAAATAGTAAAGAACAAAGCCCCGCGGGCAATTCAAAATTTACGTAGGTCTCAGGCTCTCCCCACCAAAGGTCGTCATAGCCACAAGCCTCGATGGCAAGAGAGTCATGTTCCTTTGGAAGAGCGACTACAATTGGTCGAGCCAAGCGTTGTTACTGTTAAGTTTGCCATACATAGCGACTCGTAAGCTCGTTCGTTGCCGACGCACCCCTCGACACTTGGCGGGATCCGGCGTCGTCGTTGTTCCTCTCTCTCCCTCCAGCCCCAATGTTCTTTTCATTTTAATTCAGCGGCGTTCTTTCTAGGGCCAGTCAGCATTGGGTCCAGTGTGCACGCACTATTTCTCCCTTCATTTCGCTTTTTACCTAAGCTTCGAAGATGTTGAAAACTTACGGATATGGTCAAGTTTACCGTCAAACTCTCTTTGTACTTTATTTGCCGTAGTAATTCCTTTATTTCATTCTATTTACAGAGTATTTCTTCAATCGCAGTCGAACAAAGTTTTCTCTTTTTCCTCATAATCATTGAACTAAATAAATTTTATTCATTTATGAATTTTATTAATTTTATTTATATATATCTATATATATATATATATATATATATATATATGTATATATACATATATACTATTTTTTAAAATTTATTTTATAATATATTTTTATTAATTCATTTTGTTTAAATTACTATTTTTTTTAGCGTTTAGAAATAAAATTTTTAAATTATCTTTGAATTTATTTTCAATATTATGACTTGCAACTAAAATTATGTACAAAGGTAAACAATTTCTTATTAAAGTTAGTGCACTGCAATGACATCTTTACTTTTCTTTTTTTAGGTGCTAGTAAAAATTATTTACATTTTTTAAAACATAATATATGAGAAGTAAATAATTTTGGTAATACTAAAAATGCATGTACGTAGGTTTCTTCGCTACAAAAGCAATGTATCGATTTTAATTTAATTAAACACATGCGTGCGCGTTCAGGAATATATATATATATATATATGTGTGTGTGTGTGTGTGCGTGCGCGCGTGTGTGTGTGTGTGTGTGCAATATAGATTAATTATGTTTATGAACCAATTCAAATATTTAACTTAAAATTATTATAGATTTTACATAATTTAATGTGCAATTAAATATATGCGCAACAATAATCGGTTTATTATGCATTTACGTTTTATATATAAAAATGTCCTTAAACATTGATATTCTTAATTTCGTATTGTAAAACTTAATTTGTAATGATTTTGTGGAATAGGCATTTAAATTAAATTACAAGGATATTGTAGTAAGATTTATAGATTGTAATATTATATTACTCTATTGTTTTTAGACAAAATATTTAATATATTTCAAATTACATGGATAATTATATATTTGTTTGCAAAATCTAAATTAAATACATGATTCGCTACTAAATATTCTTTTAATGCACTATAATATTGAAAATTATCGGGTAAAACATATAGTTCAAATTTTATTTGTACAATTTATTAATACGGGTAATATAAAATATGATAATAGTTTTTAACGAATAACAATTATTATGTTTAATACTACAATTACGATATAATTACGAATTAAAAAAATTTAATATTCTTTCTAATAAAATTTCTAATACGCGACAACTCATGACTTTACACGCTTTATTTCTATATCAGACATATTATCTGACTAGATGTTTTAACTTAATATTTTCAAAATATATAAAATACAAAATTATATTATGATTACTATTATATTGCATATGAAATATTATAAGATTATATTACATTACATTATATTGTAAATACATAATATAAGTAAATTATATTAAATATTTAAAGTAAATTTAACATATAAATAAATTTATTAATCTTATAGTAATAATATAAATATATTTAGTTTAAACAAGTTTATTATTATTTTTTAAAACATTGATTACGATTACTGCTTAGATTGTAAAATCGGCACTTAATTTTTATTCATATAAAATTTGAAATATAATAAATAAATGACAATTAATTAAATAAAATTAATAATTATTGTAATTTTTAGAAATTTAATACAAATAAACATTATTTTGAATATCACAAGAAAATGAAATTTTGTAACGTCTTAATATTGTTATAAATTTTGTTTAAACTGATAACTGATACGAAATATGATTAACTATATAAACATTTTATGAAACTTTTATAAATTTAATAGAAGATTTGGAATTTAATAAATTTTTGGAAATTTTAAGTGTATATTAAAAATATTCCTTTTATCTATAGAAAATTAATTTATTTATTAAAACTTTATTTTATCATACATTTATAATAATACATATTTTTAAATATATAAGTGAACGTTTTCCATGTCGATATATATGTAAGCTATGTGTCCATTGTGCAACGTATGCCAGTCTCAAACTCGAATAATGTAAGAATTTTAAGAGAAATGATAAATGTCTTACATGCAAATAGTAAGGGTTAAATGCATAAGTTAAATAAAAGCGAAAGAAGAGTGATATAGAGAGAGAAAGAGTGAGAGAGAGTGAGAGAGAGTGAGAGAGAGTGTGTGTGTGTGTGTGTGAGAGAGAGAGAGAGAGAGAGAGAGAGAGGGAGAGTGACAGAAACAGATGTATATATGTATATATACATATATATATATATAGAGTGAGTGAGAGAGAGAGAGAGAGAGAGAGAGAGTGAGAGAGAAAAGTAGTAGTTGCAGTAGTTATTGAAGCAGAGAACGTAATAATAAATGCCTGACGGTTTTTTGACCGTAAAATAACAGCGCCCTCGTTCATCTATCTCGCTTCCTTAGTCAGTTATTTGGAAGAGTAACAAGGAAAAGTGACGAGAGAAAACACTGACAGGCATTGCAGTGGCAGAGTCACATAGCTTCGTACGTATTACGTACCATTGTAGGTCGAGCCAACAGCAGCGACGGAAAGGAGCTACGAAGGACCGCTAGCGAGTAGAGAGGGAGGGAGAAAAAGATAGAGTAGCAGGAAAGAGAGAGAGACTATATCGCGGGGGCATATACGCAGACCTGTGAGCAAGGCAGTCAGTTAAGCGGTAGTCAGTAAGCTAGCAATTCGATATATAGAGGAGTGCACGATTTAGACGACGTACGGAAAGCAAGAACGAGCGATCCAGGCCTTTTATTTTATTTGCGCAAATACAGACGGTGCGAGAAGCACTCGAATTAAATAATGGTAAGTATTTCGGTTGTGATATCGAATGAAGCTGAAAAATTGCCTTGACTCTGTCGTGTTGTGCCGTATCTGCTCTCAAGTTTTCACAGATGTAAGTATACTTATTAACCTAAAAATTTATAACTTAAATTTTTCAGGCTGGCGGTAAGGCGGGTAAAGATTCCGGCAAAGCGAAGGCAAAGGCAGTATCGCGTTCGGCGCGGGCCGGTCTCCAGGTGAGTGAGCACCATCATTTTTACATTTTTTTCACATTTTATGAGGGTACAGATAAAGAAGTTGAGATTTGAACGCGTTTAGTCGGCTAGCTCGAAGTTCGGAGCGACCTCCAGCTTAAGTTATAGCACTTTTTTCGAGGTGGCTGTGGCTCGCCGTTGCTGCCGTCGCCACCACCGTATCTCGATCGTTGTCGCACGCTTGCTTCGGCGGCTACCCTGCAGCGCTGCGAGAGCGAGAGAGAGAGGGCGCGTTCAGGATGTAGAAATGGCGCGAAAGACTTATGCCAAGGGCGTTTTTGGAGGCATTTATGATCGTTTTCGAAGAAATTTAATGATCGACGCACGTGACTGAAACGAAGTTGCGAGATCGAAGTGTCGTGCCGAGCGATGTTTGTTTTTGATCGACAATTATTGAATTGAGCGTTTGTTTTTATTTGGTCGAAGTCAACGTTGATACAACTTTTCGAAATTAATGTTGGGCACAATTTCGACGAATCATCGCTTTCTCGCGAGTTCATAGTCGCTGAAAGAATCGTCTTATCGCATATTCAAATTTTTCTCTGTTCCTCTCATTGTGTTTCATTTACAAAAATTATGTATTATCTTCATTTTGCCCATAACATTACATCTTTTAACAATTTCTTTACTAATTAGCATTTAATCATAATTTTAAATATTCAATAAAAAAAACTAAATACTTAAATGTACTTCGAAAGTCGCGTCATCCTACTACTCGTTCAATATTTTCTTGCTAAGGAAAGCTGCTGACGCGTTTATTGGATTGGCTGACGAATGTTTTCATGTTGTGTTTGAAGCGTTGCTTCGTCCTAAAAACATTGGTCTTTCAATACATTTTGAATTTCCGTTACGTATAACATTAGTTCCTTTTAAAGTAAACAATTGTTTATAGCAAATATATATATATATATATATATATTTTTTTTTTATATATATTCTAATCAATATTTATTATGTTAAATTAAATTATAATTTTTTATTGTTTAAGTATGTAATTACATCATAACTTGTTTATCCACTATAAATTAACATTTATTTTTTTATAAGAAAAACAATATTCATTTCTTAATAGTTATTTATTAGATGTATAATAAACTTAATATAAAGTTATTTATTATATATTATATAATTTTATCATTAATTAATGCTATAATAATAAATAGATTATTATTTGAATTAATATTTACATATTATGTTATTTCTAATGTGATACATTTGTATGTATAAAATGAATTTATTAATATCATTTTAGTTTCCTGTTGGAAGAATTCACAGGCACTTGAAAAACAGAACTACAAGTCATGGACGGGTTGGTGCTACAGCTGCTGTTTACAGTGCTGCTATTTTAGAATATTTAACTGCTGAAGTAAGTATATTGTTATAAATGCAGAAGAAAATTAAAAGTAATATTAATTGGTGCAATTTATTTTCATTAAAATGTGTTTTAATTAAGTGAACTTCAATTTATAAATATATAAATATATATATATATATATATATATACATATATAAATGCATGTGTGTGCAAACATACATACAAGTATTATTAAAATTACTTAAATTGAGCTATGAGTATAAAAATTGATGAGTTTTTACATATACATTATTAATAATTTGTTTTAGACAAAATTTTAATTCTAGTACTTTACTAGGTTTTGGAGTTGGCGGGAAATGCATCAAAGGATTTGAAAGTGAAACGTATTACTCCTAGACATTTGCAGTTAGCTATTCGCGGTGATGAAGAACTTGACAGTCTCATTAAAGCAACTATTGCTGGTGGTGGTAAGAAATTTATTCAACTATATTTTAACTTTTATTATTAATATATTTTTAATTACACATTTTAATTACATCTTAATTGATTTTACATGTTATTAATTATATTTTTTAATTATTAATAGGAGTTATTCCACATATTCATAAATCGTTGATTGGCAAGAAAGGATCTCAGAAACCAGCATAAAATTAAATTTAATACAAATTACTAAATTTGAAACAACTAAGATATTTGTGGGGAAATGAGTAAGCGAAAAATAAAAGCGTTGAAAAACGAAGAAAATGTAATGAGCGGAGAAAGGAAAATCAGGAAGGCAAAGAAAGAGAACAAAGATGAAGCAGTGGTTGTTGAAAAATGTACCTAAGTTGCAAAGCAGTAAAGAGACAGGCGTGATATAAATATATATATATACATAGATTTATGTATAGAGATATAAAATAAGCAAACGATTGACATGTGATGTCGTTTGACTAATTTAACTAGCTAAATAAGCTCTTTGACGAATTTTAAGGTTTACTCTTATATCAGACAATCCTCGAGTCGATACGTTCTAGCATCGTCATAAGAATGCCTCGATGTTGATGAAAACCTTGATTCGCTCTTAAAACTCGGCCTCCGCATTTTTCAGTTCAGGTTTCGACTTTTCGAAGAAAATTCAACTTTTTATTAACAATATTTAAATTTTATATTAAAGAAATTCTATAATTCTTATTTAATTATTAAAATCATCATTGCTATCTCTTATAATGCCAAATATTAATAAATTAAGTAGTACCATTTATATCTGAAATTATAGTAATTTCAATTTATTAAAATTCATTTTTCTAGTTTCTAATTAACATAAAAATCTCCAATAATACTAATGAAATGTTATAATGAAAGATCACTAAAACTTTGGAAAGTCGATCTTGAACTAAATTCTTTGAACAAAATTTTTGAAAGTTTTAATACTTATTTAATTATTTTAACGCTTTTTTTAGCTCGTTCTCCCTGTATGAATTGGAGGTTTTTCAAATTAAATCTAACCTGATACAATAACTAATTCAGACTCGTTTTAGAGTTAAAAGTATTCATTTTACATTTAGTCTTGTACTAAATATATGATTAATGTTCTATTATCTTTTAAAATTTATAAAATATCTACACAAAATTTATAAAAAAAAATATTTTATTTTCTTAACTATTTTTAAATTTGCTTTTTACATATTCAGGTTAGATTTGGTTTCTCCTGTAATGTTTCAAATTTGTTTACTAAATATAACTTGACATTAATAAAACTTAATTGTAAAGTATTCTGTCGTAAAGATATAAAGTTCTTGAATCACAAGGAATGTATGTAATTGAAGTTATTTACTTGTAGATTTTGTGAGTTAGCAATGTTTTTTTTTTGTTTCGAAGTGAAACGTAAAAATTTTGGGAAAGCTATAGTTTTTTCATTCATTAAATTGTGAATAGGATTTGTTTGTTAATGCTAAAATTAATTTAGGTTAAGGAATATAATTGTCAAACACACCTTACACATATATTAACTGCGTAAGCGCAATGACTCTGGAAATAAATACCAGCCATATGTAAAACGTTCATTTTCATAATAAAGGTCGATTTTATTACATTCATGTATTATTTAATTTTAAATTACGAAATCGATTTCGTAATTTTTAGGAAATTTAAAAATATAAAATATAAATTCTAATTATGATATATTATGGACTTGATTTTTTTAAATGTCAATATCAAAATACATAATTTTAGATTAGAATATTAAGTATATATTTACTTTACTGTTGAACATTTTTAATGACTTATAAAATTAACATAAAAACTAATTTAATTTGATTATTTTCAACTACTACTATTATTTTATATATTCTTCTCTAAAAAGTTAGTACGTTTTTTAAACAATTAAAAATATATTTTCAATTTATCAAAAATTAACGAAACTTTAATAGTAATTTAAGAGATTAATAAAATGAAGTTTTTAATCAAATTGAGAAAGTTAAATATTTAATTTTGTATTATTAAATAAAACTATACTTTGTATATTTTATCAATACTATCACGCGTCTATTTTATTTATTCATAAATTTAATTAATTTTTACATTTACTGCCTAATAAATCTTATTTAAGTTTATAATAAAGTGTAACTAATAAATAATTTAGAATAAATACTAATATAGAATAAAATAGTGGCAATAAAAATTTATTTATTTAACTATCTTTAACTAATATTATTGGACAAATATTTATTAATAATTAATTTTGATATTTTTAAATATTAACATTTTCGAAATGTACCATTTTTATATTTTTACTGTTGATATTTTCGGATGCTGTAATAATTATATGCAACAAACAAATTATAATATTGTGTGGTATATGAAAATATCTAATTATATAAGTAATTTAATAACTTCTTTAAAAAAAAGTTTATATTAAATTAGATTAAGAATTTATTTTGTATAAAGTTAATTTATGTTTTGTGAATAATATTTTTAGAATACTGTTGGTTTGTTTTTATCATATCCTATTGTACTTATTATGTAATATAATTAATTTTTTATATAAAAAATTCTTTTTCCAGTTATACAAATCTAATAATGAAATAACGTTTCAGTTATTATAGTAATTTACTCTAATCATTATCATTATTATCTTTTATTTGTAATGCTATTTATATTTGTAAATATATTTAAGTTTTATGATTAAGAGAGTTACTATTGGATGATCAAGTTAACGGAATTTTATAAAATTTGATTTTACTAGTTGTAATAAATTGATCCAATGTGTTTGATATAAATGAAAAAAAAATTAAGTACCATTTTAACTTAAATAATCGATTGTTTGTATCTAATATAACTTTTGCTGATTGTAAAAATAAAATAAAGATGTTAATGATATTTAATATTTTAGTAATATAGTGTTTATTAAATAATTATTGAAAGAATATCTTAAACCAAATTGAAATTAAAAACTTAATGAACTTTTCAAATTTATAATTTTTCTTTGCATAGGACCAATCAAAATTGGCTGTTATAAAAATAAAATAATGTATGTATAAAAAAGTATTTATAATTTTAATAGAATATTCTTATAGTATTAATGTTTGTTTTGAATAAATATTTTATTTAATGTCCAGTACATATTACATTTTTTTATTTTAATATCCTTATATATATATATATATATATATATATATATATATATATATATATATTTATGCAGAATGAGAAATGTTGAATCGAATAATATACCCTTATTGCCTATAAGTTTATCGGATACAGCGGCTGCGCGGCTAACAGAGTGTTTCAAAGTTAGATGAATACGCGGCTGCTTTAGTTGACGGACACAGTCGAGCATCAGCGAGCACAGCCGAGGTCACTAGAAAAGTGGTTTTAAACGACTATTGTAGTTAACAACCTAGCGTCCGTTGCGAGGAGTTACAGAATTTACAGCTTCCGAGGTCCGAGAGAGGGGCTGTGAGCGGTGGTGGGCACAGGTACTTCGCAAACTCGGCTTTCCTTTTCAGTCTCCATATGACCTGCACTACTGTTGGATTTCGTGCCTTTTCTTCTCACCTCGCACCGTTCAGCGCGATCGAATAAAAACAAAGAAACTCGTGATGAGTTTTGGTTTAAAAGTTGAAAAATTTTTGTCACTGAAATATTCGAAGTTCTGAGTGGTAACAATCTTCGTGATTCTTGGTTCGATATTTGTCACGAAAGGAAAGTTGTTCAACACTTTTCTTGCGAGAACAGTATTTTCTTCAATCTTTCGTACTTTTCTCGCTTACGTGCATACATTTACTATTTCATCTTTCGTGTTTGAATTCTCACTCCATGCCTAAGGATCATATTCAAAGGGCACTCCATTTTGATTCGACAGGTACAATTTTCCGGCAACATTCTGTAGGGAAGGTACATCAAATAAAAAACTTATTGATCGGATTTGTCCTGCAGAATCTAGCCAATGCTATTTTTGTAACGGGATCTTTCTATTTCAAGTAATTTTTGATTGCCGACTGTTGATTATTAATTTTTTGCCTTTCAAGCAATAGTTATTAAATAATAAACTGTATTCGTATTGTAATGTAGTGATATTGGCTTCAGTAATGATAAAATGTGCTTAGAAAATTTCGTCTGAGTTTTGTTCATAAGAATTGAAGTTTGGATAAATAGAGAAGTAAGCGTAACGGGATGAAACAAATCCAGTGAAGATTAAGGAGACATTGACATCGAAGAATTTTGATTGAGAAAAATGGATAAAAAGGCGATCAAATTAGATTGGTACGTACATTATATTTATTATTTTAAATTTATTATTACATTTATTGATATGCTTACAATTTTAGTTTTTTATCACATGAGATTGATGTAACTAATTTTTATATTATTTAGTATTAAATATAGTTAATGTATTATAGCTCCGCATAAATCTATTCATTAATCAAGCGTAGGGTGAAGTAGTATAATATTATAATATACATACTAAAATAGAATTTATGGCATTTTTTCGTGTACATTCTGTTTATAAATGAAAAACTAAATACCCGTAAAATTACTGGAGATCTCTACGAATTTAATAATTGTGCAAAAATTTTTATTCGTGAATGACAAGATTTTTTTTGTCTTTTTTCAGCAATAATTTTATTTCATTTGTAACATGTAATTTCTATTTAATGTATGATGTAAATAAGATAAAACCAAGTAATCGTAATATTATTGTTAGAACATATCATAATTACCGAAAGTTAGTCCTAACTATTTTAACACAAACGAGAATGCATATTTAATATTTGGCAAGATAGGTTTTTTAATTATTATGATTATTTCATTTCATCAAAAGAAGGGTTGGGCATAGAAAGGCGCATTCTTTTACTCAATCCAGCATCCATAGATGTCAAAACTCGTTGAGTTGATTAAGTAAAAATTTAATTATGCGCTTCCTTGTTTACGAATATAGAAGATAAATGTACAGCATTCATAAACGTACATACGTGAGTGATTGGGGTCTTTGAATTTTGTGAAGTACAAGAAATATGTATTAATTCAAAAAGAATGAACTGAGAGAAAAACGAGTTAAAGAGACCAAGAACTTGTTATTAGTAGTACTGTAACTGTAAAAACTGATGCAGACTCCGGTAAAGCGCCACCATGAGTGACTCAATATTACTCGCGACGAGAAGGCGAAGCGAGACTATGG